AAGGAACTATTTTTAAGTGGGACTGTACTTTTCTCAGAAGAAAGAAACGGTACCAAGGGAGTAATATAGATAGATCGATCTTCAGCATTATTTTGTGATTTTTAAACAGTTCAATTTTATGTGAAATCTGTCCTTAGAGGATTAGTTTTTTGCAGTTAAGCGAAAGGTTCTGTAAAACGTGAAACGCGTCATGCGAAAGCGCCCTTCGGTCGGTTTTGCGCATCTAAAGTGAATAAGAAGTGCGAGTAATCGTTTGTGCATCGATAACATTTCACCACTATCGATTTTTAATCGAAATCAAATAAAAGGTACGTATAAATAATTCTCTTATTAGTGTTAATCCTTCCATATTCCTTCACGCTCTTCTTGTATCCCATTTTAAAAGCCACGTGCCCTCCACAAAAAACTGGACACTCAGAACTTTGAATGGGGATGGATCCTTCATGGCAATGGAAATTGTAAAGATGAAAGGCTGAAAGCGTTTCTTGAACCCCCAAAAAGTGCAGAGAAGAAGGCAGCAGGCAGCAGGCAGCAGGCAGCGGCAGCGTCGACAATGGCCAGAGATATCCTGTTTAAGGACGCTCCCTATTCGCTCATATTTGGCTTGTCGTTCCCCGTATAGAAAGTGGCGGTGTCATAAATTAAAACTTAAACTTTTGGAAATGTCAAGTATAAAACGGTAAATCTCCGCACACACACCACACACATACACTCTCTCGCCTCTGCCTGGAAATGAATTGCAGTAAAAGAGAGGAGCGAAGAGGGGGAGAGAGAGGGATTTGGGGGTCTTGGAGGAGGCTTCGGCTTCGGCTACGGCTACGGCTGCCACCCATTGAATGCGCATGTTTTAGTTGCGGGCTGCGTTTTTCACTTGCTGTTGGTGCCACACAGTCAGGGGTTGGGGGGGGTTTGGAGAGGAAAAACTATATGGAGGGGCAGTGGCAGACCCAAGAAAAAGCACAACAACAACAGCAGCAGCAGTGGTGGTGGTGGGGTAATATATAGGGAAAACTCCACCCGTTTCACATAAATTTGGGCAAAAGGCAAACTTACAGATTATCCGCATTTAGTTGTAAAGGTTTTCCCAACCCCCAGCCCCCGCCACCCGCCCACAAGCCCCCCCCTTCGGACAAAATGTGTTGTATTTCATTTTTGGCTCCATCTAGCAGCAGCCAGGGATCCTTCCACCTTCCATCCAGAGGAAAGTTTGCCTGGGATCCAAGGACTAGCGCCCTGTCGATGATTTACATTTGATTTACTTTCGCTGGACACTGGATTTCCCTCCCCAACCCTCCCCCGCAGGGCTCCTCCCACTCTAGCGTTTGAGTTTTTCCTCATTTACAATAAATTCTCATTCTCAAAATTTCTAATTTCTAATCATCATAAAATCTGATTATCATTTGCATAACTCCACGCCACGCCAGGCCACTCCGCTCTTGGCCAAGCACAAAACTTTGACACATTAAGCAGTCGGGCCCCCGGAATCGACAAATTTAAGAACAAGAAGCCAAAAAAATATTTAAGTAAAATTTATGAAAATTAAAAAAACTGGCAACAACTTTTCGGTCATTTGAAGAAATTTAATTGATCGCATAAATTCCTTTCGAAGGGCAGACAACAATTTGGGGAACTCCGGAGGGGGAACAACAAACAATTTATGTCAAATATTCCAAGGGACGGCAGGTCCAGGTGAAGGGAGGGTTTTGACATCAGGATGAATGAAGTGTAACCTCGCGGTTATAATCAAATTTCCAGCATAGGTTTCCACTCCTCGCCCTCTTGGGGTTTTCCCCCCTGTAGTTGGGGGAAATTGCCATCTTAATTTGAAAACAATTTTGTAACTTGCTTTTGGCTTGGTTTTCTCTTATTTTCTGTTGCTGTTTTTAGGCCACATTTTTTACACAATTTTAATTTTACGCATAAACATTCATTTCCCTCGGGGCTGGCACCAAAAGTTGTGACCAAGAAATATAGGAAAATGCTAGAGGATTACAGGGAAAGTGTGTTGGATTTTCTGCTTATTGTTTATTAATTAATGGATACTTAAGGGCAGTCGATAATTGTAGAGTTAGTAGAGAGTTATTTAGGAAGGAACGAAGGAGGGAAATATCTGGTGTTCCTTCAATGTTTCAACTATTGAATTTATAAGGTATGGCTTTCCATGCGTGATATTGATAATGTTAGATGTATTGTAGAAGGATTTATTCGGAAAATCATTCCTAATAAATTAGGAAAAAATAAAAGTAAATTAAATGAAGATTTTTGTTCTACTAATAAACATGCTGAAAGCATTCCACCCTAAGTACGCCCTTGTGCTGACATAATTATATATAATTCAAGGAATTCTTTGTAAAGATTTGTTAAAAATATACTATAGATATATTATCTTCCTCTTCGATTAAACATACATTGTTTGTAGCATTAGAAGAATAGTTGTATCAAAATATACCTAAAATGTTTTCAAAAACCTTTCAAAACCTCGTAAGTTGATTTCAATAAATTATTTGTATTCCAAAATGAATTTTAAATAAATCCCCATTTAATTCGCATATAATAAGCTTACACTTGGAGGATGATTCCTGATCCTACTTGGCAGACTTCTTTCATCACCGAAAATTCTGTAATTTACTAATGAAGAGTGCTTGAAGCACTAACACATCTTCCAAGACCCAGGGGGAGTCCACATGAAAGCCAAATCCCTTGGCTCTCGGTCACATGACCAAACAGAACTCCAATCCCTGGCAACTGGCTCCGCTCCCTGGTTGCCTTGCCACACAGTCAATGCCAACACACAAAGATGATGAATTTGGACATTTTGTGTGCGTTGCAAAGTCACTTGCTTAAAAGTTATTAGGGATTAAAGAGTTGAGGCGGCGGCAGCGGGGAGGCTGCTTCATTAGAGTGGAGGCGGGCCAAGGATTCGGACTCGGGGATTCACATGTGGCAAACAGACGGCCCCCAAGTCAGGGCCTGTGCAATGTTTACTTACCTTTGGTGCAAAGTTTTTGAAAATCCTAAAAGGAAATCACTTTAGACGCGTCCAAAGAGATGCAGTAAAGTTTCGTTAAACCATCTCTGGCCTCTCACCAAGTCCAACTCCTCTGCTCTCCTCCCCTCTCCAGCCACAAAGCCAAAGTTCTTCCACACCCTGAGACAGAGAGGGGGAAGTGTGAACGATTATGAGGAGCTGATAGAAGAAAGATGGGACTGGGGGATTCTCTCTCTTCTTGGGATGATGTTTTAATGTGTGCGGAACCCGCTGCCGCCCGTTTGGAACTTTTGAGACATCTTAATTCCTTTCGAGATAAATCAGAAATTTCCAAAACGAAAACCTCCCTTAGTTTTTCTTGTTTTTTTTTTCCTCGAAAATTTGTATTTTTATGTACAGTATTTTCTCTCTTTTTTTTGCAGAGAACGAACTTATGCATTTTTATGAGCTGCAAGGATCCTGCTCTCCCCCTCCCCCTCTCTCTGTCTCTGCCTCATTCTCCCTGTGGGTGGGTTTTATCCTTTCATAAATGGGTCCAACGGCAAACTGATTTATGCCACCGCAAGCTGCAGCTCTCTTGTTCTTCTGCTGCAGCTTCTGGCACTCTCGCCTCCTGCACACCGGAGCAGCTTTAGCTTTCCTCTGGATGTCGACGGCGGTGGGGCAGCAACAAAATAGCAAAACGACAAAACAGAAATTCCAGAAAACAACATAAAACCGATTGATTTATTTTGACAATGCTACCATGCAGTGTCGACCCCTATCCCAGGACTCCAGGTCCCCATCCCATCCCCAGAGCGTCGCCACGATCCCCCAAGCGGTAGAATACCCGTCCGACGGCGGCTGCCATTGTTTGCTCCCCATCCTCTGTCTGTGCATCCGTCTCTTTCTGCTGTCTGTGTCCCCAGTCCTCAGTGCTCAGTCCTCAGTCCCCACTCTCCACATCGACATGTTCCGTTCGCATTTCGGACTCCCAGCACCCTTCTCCGACCCCAAAACCCAATCTCTGGGCAAAAAGTTGTCCTCGTTGTCCGCTTTGTAAAATATTTTATTTGCACATCTTTCTTATTTTAATCCTTCATTGCATTCTGTTTGGTTTGGGGGCCTTGAGCCTTGGAGCTCCAACCTTCTCCTCCTGCTACCTCCTCCCTCCAATGCCTCCTGTGGGTGGGTGGAATCTGTGATGTGGTGGAGCTCTGGGGTTGGGGTATGTGGGTGCTGGTGGCGCTGCGTGTGTTTCTATGCTGTGGCAAATGGCCATAAAACACACGTTAATTACCCTCAAAGCAGCGTCAACTATTGCTGCTGCTCTTCTCTCTCTCATCTCTAGAAAGAAAGAAGAGAGAGATGTGGAGAAATGTTTGACATCGAACAGGGGATTATACCTTTGCAGGTCCTTAGAAGATTGGCTGGAAAAATTCTCTTAAGATACAAATTGGTCTAAATAAGTAAAGAATTTTCGGAAATAAAGCTAGGATTACAGGATTCCCAGATTCCAGATTTTCTAAACAAAAACCACCAATCTGATAGAAAAGAAATGTTTAAGAATGTTTTCAACACATGTTTTCATAGAAGATTGATGAGGAGTTCAAAGAACCAAAAATATTTCTTTAAATTACGTTTTGAAAGAAAATTTAACTAATGTCTGTCTATCATTTAGTCATTTAAGTCACCCAGGAAGTGACCCTTTCATAGAGGTAGATGTACCTCTCTTAAGAGAAATTCCATCGGTGCTTTAGCCATTAAAATGGGTTCCACTATATCTGGTTTTTCTGTAAAGAATATATGTCTTTTATTTATTTATCTGATTCGTAATATAGAATTAATTTTTGTCAGAATACAGAAATTGCAGTGTTCTGCTAATAAATTCGTTATATTGAAGACCTCGTTGTACGAAAGTACGTAATAGAGAAGCTGTAGTACTGGTTTCCGAGTTCATCGACTAAGGAATATAGATTCCATCAACTGTTTATAAGCAGATTCAAAATCTATCATTCAAAATACCAACTAATTTCCTTAAATCTCTTTGCACATTTAATTTATTTTCGAACTTGTACGATTTGATTAATTTTGATTCTAAAATCAAGCAGCTAATCATCTTGTCAAATGACTTTACCAAAAGGTTCTACGTCGACTACCACGAGGGCCAGCATTTGGGTTGTGACCTGCAGAAGACAAAGATCATTACAGATCGATCCCTTGAGATGCCGTTGAGGATGACTTACGTTCAGTAACGGGAAACGTAATACCAGCATCACCGCCACTAAAGCGAGGGATATCATTAGGGGCACTATGGGTATAAGGCTTGGATTAATGGACATCTCATATTAAAGGGGTTTCTAGGACGACTTACTGCAATCCATTGCGGGCCAACATTTGACGTGCCCGCTGTTGCATGATGGCCATTCGGCGATACTGTTCCGGGCTTATGGGCTGACGGAACATTCGGCCATTGGGATTGGCACGGAAGTTGTCGGAGAGGTCCTCCAGTCCCACGGGAATATTGGGATCGTTGTGGAAACCCATCGGATTGGGATTGCTGAAGATCTGTCTGGGACTTCCATGGCCTTGGCCAAAGTTGAGACTTTCTTGAGGGAGATTCATGTTGTTTTGATGGCCAAAAGTACTGTCATTAACGGTGCCTCCCTGACCAAAGTTCGCGACGTTTCCCTGACCAAAGTTCCCTACGTTTCCCTGACCAAAGTTCGCGACGTTTCCCTGACCAAAGTTCGCGACGTTTCCCTGAGCAAAAGGTCCATTGTTTCCTTGATCCAAGTGCCCGGCAAGTGGCATGCCGCCCATCTGTGCGGGTGGGTAGAACACCTCAGAGGGCAGCAGGTTCATCGAGTCCGTAAGCTGGGCGTATGTGGCAAAGTCAATCTCCATGCTTTGGTTCATAATTTGTTATTCAAAGAAAAAAAAAGAAAAAATTTTTTCTTATTTTAAAACTACGAAAGATTTTCGAATATATTCTGGAAATTTTTTCAAGATTTTTGAACGTACGGAGGGTTAGAATTGGAATGAGAATAAGCCAAAACTGTGAGAGTGCAAAGAGAAAGGAATGCTGATGGGAATAAAGTGAAACAAAGATGAGGATTCGAATGAGGGAAATATTTTCATCATGTAGGCGAATGGAAAAATGTCAAATAGAAAAAATTCGGCAAAAAATCTTTCCCTTTCAGAGGGAAGAAAAGCAGGGCCGTCTTTCCACAGAAGACCACGGAGGATGCACATCTAAAAGAAGCCCAGCCCCTTCGTAAAGTAACCTTTGACAAGAAATTCTATTTAGATGCATTATTTAATTGTTAATAACCAAAATATCGAATACAATTTCCAAAGACTTGTATAAAAGCACGCCAGTTCTAGTTTCTTTTTTTTAAAAGTACGTATTGCCATTTCCTTGGGACTGATGGTGGTAGCCTTGGGACTCGTTACCGCCCAGACCAGGCAAAGAGTTGTAACCGTAGTCGCCTTGTCCACTGCTTTGGCCGCCACGCTGTTGTTCCATGGGAGAACTGCAAGACGGGAATAAAATAAACGTGGTAGCTAGTAAATACCCAAGATCTTAGACTTACTAAAGACCATTGCGAGAGTTCATCTCTTTGAGCATCTTATTGTATCGCAGGGGACTGCGATAGCCGGGTCCACCAAAGGCAGCGCTGCCTGGCTGGCCGCGGGACTCCTCCTGTCCATAGCCATTGGACTGGACATACTCCTGGCCTTGTCCCGACATCTGGCCCATGCCCTCGAAGCTCATGCCGTAGCCCTATGGACGGGACAGATTAGGGTATTCCCCGAACTCAGCCACCTTCGGGTCTTACCTCCGGGGGCTGGCCATCGGGAATGGACATGCCATAGCCCTGCATCGATTGGTAGTTGGTGCCGTTACCATTTCCGTACTCCATGACTAGTATTTATTTATTTTTTTTTTTTCGGTAAAAATTTACGAAACTTTTGTTTTGTTACTAAAAAATTTTGATGTTTTTAGAATTTTATCTAGAGGTCTTTACACTCCGAAATCTGGATTACGAATGAGCATTTTTGTAACACAATTCGGTTGGTCGAATGTACTGAGAGTTTGTCCGATTTCATGGATGGTTTGATGTGGAAATTTGAACGAAAAATATGGTTTCCTTTTAACAAAGTGTTTGAGAATTTCTTTGGGTTTACTGCTGCCCAAAAAGAGATAAAAATTCCTCAAGAAAGAGTTGAATCCTAACCGATTTGGACACCTTATCTGGGCCAACCATATTGCAGACGAAGTTTCTACTGAGCAAAAAAAAAATAGTAGAATCGCCATAAAGGAAATCAAAGCGAAGGGAGGCGAACTCCTACCTCGAGGAGCAGCAGCAATGAATATGCAAACGGCTGAACGTCGCCGAATAATTAAAATCGAGAAGCAGCCGGAGCCTTGCCTTGCCGGTTCTTTGCTAGCCGGATTAGAGATACCGGCAAACACTTTACGGCGGACAATTAAGTGCGCCTCCGTAATCTGTCTGTCGTAATTATGGCGACGCGGCGTGTATTTATCTGCGGCAATTAACGCCAAGTCCCAGCCCCAGTCCCAGTCCCCGCCCCAGACCCATTCCAAGCTTCTGGAAACTCCTCGCATATTTCACATCTCCGAAGATGGCCCCCAGACACTTGAGAACTTTAATTAAAACTAGATAAAGGACCATTGCAGCGGCAGCAATCATAGTTTATTCAACGTATTGCTGCATTCAAAAAAGGATTCATTCATTCATTCATTCATTCGCATGGCTTCTGCACCACAACGATGAAGAAATTCTCTTCGGGTACAATCATCAGCTCGTGGTTGAGGGTGCGCAAGCGTAGAGCTGTCAATTCGTTCGAGGAATCCAGTTTCTGGACCATCTTGGAGCCCTTCGCCAGCAGATTGTTGGCCAGGGCAGCATAGTGAACGGTCAGGGTGTACTCCATTGTGGTCTTGATGGGTATGGCAAACGCATCCACGATTATGATGCCCGACACATTCGGAAAGTTTGAGTAGCGCTTGAGGATCTCTTCGATTTCAGCCGACATCTTGTAGCAAAATATATATACATATATTATTTAGGGGCTCGACTTAGACAAATATCTGTCCATTGCTACGATTTCGATTTTCTCTTATAACTTTCCCCAATCTAGCCAGCCTTAGATCCCATGAAAACCCATGGAACCAGCCTCCAAAATGACAACATTTTCCATTCGCAAACGTACAATATTTCAAAATTAGTACAACAAATTCGAAATATCGTAATATGTATTTAAATTTGATAGCTTGTGTATATGGCTTTAATACATTAATCTTTTTTTGGTCCGAATTCTTTCTTACGTTTAAAATATACAATATAATCAAAGTCGGGTTCAGCCAGGTAATCAACCCAACCCAATCTTTTGTTATCCAACCATAGAAGGCTCCGCTGTAAGTACCGAATGTAAGATCATTCTTTTGAGGTATTCTTAATATGGCTTTCCTAATTTTCGATAGCTCTACCAGCAATATCTGGGCATGGACCCGGCTATCACAGTTCCCTGAGACTCTCGTAATGGACTCTAGTGAGTGGATACTTATATTTTCAACTTTCTCTCGCCTTTACCTTAAGTTCAGCCCAACAGTTGCTCCTAGAACTGCACGCAATCACAGAAGAAGTATAGTTCTTTACCAGTTATTGGGGACCATGTCGGACTCAACGGAGGAGCAGGAAGAAAAGTAGGCCATTCTGGCCAATCTGCATATCTACAACAAGGAGACACATAAAACCAAAGCTGGAGAAGCTCATGTGGGGCAGAAACCATGCCCCAGACCCTGGACACTGGGTGCTAGGTGACTTATGAGTCAGGCTCTTCAGCGCTTGCAGATCCTTTGATTTCCCTTTATTTGCTGCCACTCAGCCGGAGCACAGGAGACCTCTGCTTTGAGGGATACCAATTGTAATTCCCTCAACCAGGCCTGGACATGGATCATGTCATGACCTAACCATGGTCATGGCCGAACACGAGACAGAGACCATCATCGACCGCTATCCCTCTGGACTCCTGCGCATGGATGCCGTCAATTCGGGGCCATTCTTGCTCTTTTGGAACTCAACTCCTGAAACTGCCAGCTCTCGTGGGCGATAGCTAGGGACTTGGTGCAATAACCTCAAAGCTTTATTCCTACCACGAACCCTCACAGAGCGGATCCTCAAGTCAGTGTTTAATATTTGAAGGGAAATCTGAATGTGGGTGAACAATATATACTTTAAATACAATCGGGAATGCAAAGTGGACCAGGTGAAGATTGTAAGTGATCGCAGATCGATTTCCAGCCGTGGTTTTCTATGGCAGCCTGGGTTTAGGCATTCGTAGCGCCTCATCTACTTCGAGGCTTTGGTGGGATGTTTGGAGCAGCTTCCTTGGTACAATCTGATGTCAGTTAACCGTTTTAACGCCGAGAGCAGTATTTAGTATGTCCAATTTTCAACCATGAAATTGCAGAAGTCTTTAGAAGAGAAGTTGAAACAACTTCTTCGGTTCCAGGTGGTTGATAAGCCATTCCGGAGCTGTCTAGCCTTTGAAAGTCCCTGAAGAAGGAAGAAGAATTGTGTGTCCTTGCAGCATATTTCAAATCAAAAGCAGACTTCTTAGTATATTAATTTCAATTTCAGTATGCTCTCTTGGTGGAGATATGTGGGTATTTTGTTGTTGATGTTGCTTTGCAGAGCTATTCCCTGGTGAAATGATATTTTTTTCAGTGAGTTTTTCTTCAAGAGAGTGGAGCATATATCATTCTTAAAGATCATTTGTATTTGTCTTAGTTGCAAGACTTCAATCACATTTTGCATTAATTTAAATCGTAAATCTATTTCAGCAGTTTGGGTCTATTCCCTGCCCAAAGCGAAGGGATCACTAGCCGAGGTCTTCACATAGAAAATGCCCCTCTTATGCAGCGCTGGCTCTCCAGCCATTTGGACGGTCTGTCGCTGGCTCTGGTCGCACTGCCACCGACCATTGTCGCGCGTGCAGGGCGTGCCCCAGAATCCCTTGGGGGAATTGATGGACTCGGCGAACATCGCGTAGGAGCGGATGTGTGAGCATCCCAGATAGTAGCAGCTCGGCTGAATGGTGCCGTGGTTCGGGTAAAAAGTCGCACTGCCTGTGGGCCGGCGGAAGCCGAAGTTGACACTCGTGTGCATGGACTCCACGTATTTGGCGTCCGTGGGATCGATGCGGAACTCGGCGCTACGATGCCGGAACTTGGGACCCGCCGGATCCAAGGCGAAGATGGTGTTGACCTGGTCGGGCTTCAGTCGCTTCCCCGCGGATCCGGCAATCTGGGCGCCCAGCGAGTGGCCGATGAGGTACATGCTGTCGAAGCTGGCGCCGTACTGGCGGTTCAGGTTCCTCGTAAACTGCGCCAATTGGGCGCCAAAAACCTCGATTAGGCCCACCACCGAAAAGTAGTTGACATTCGCTGAAGAGGCACTCCAGTCGGCCACAATCACATTGTATTCTCCGCGCTTCAGATAGGCGTTCTTCACGTCCCGATTGAAGGAGCCACGCGACTGACTCATCCAGCCGTGAATCATCAGCCTGGTGGGCAGGGAGGCATTGAACCCGGAGTGGCGCCACTTCTTCTCGCTGCTGAAGTCCAGCTCTCGGCCGCACTCGGGAAACTCCCGCTTGAACAGGTAGAACTGCATGCGGGGCTTGTGGCTGCCGAACGGGTTCAGATTGCCAGCAATCTTCTTGATGAAACTCAGATCCAAGAACGATCCAATGCCCCGGGACTCACTTAGATCCTTGTCGCAGGTGTTCCACTCACAGTGCTCGGCGCCCTCGTACTCATCGTCCAACGAGGCCAAGATATCATCCGATTCTGGCTCCTCGGAGAAGGACGATCGCGAACCGATACCATCTGGCATTTCATCCTCCGCTGGCAGCATATCCATAAATGCACTCATCTCCATGTCATAGTCGCCCCCGAGATCGTTCTGGCCGATGGAGGGTTTGCCTTGAGCTACAGATCAGATAGGTTAGCATATTGCCTTTCATATTCCCACGCAGATAATGCTTACCATATTGTGCTGCCAGCAGCAGTACTGCAAATAGTTGGGTCCACATTCTAAGTCGATTTATTAGATCAGCTGCAACGATCGAAGCTATTAGTTCCACTGACAATTGCACTCTGTTGCTCGGCTCTAATTTGCCAGTTCGTTTTATAGGAGTGTGCCTCCATCGCCAGAGAGAGCCCCGATGCATTCCGATAGTTCAGCACGTCACTCCGCGACATTAGCATCAGATCAAATCGATTGGGAAAAAGAGCGCCAGCCCAGGTTTATGGCAGTGCTGTGGTCTGCGAAGGGGGTTTTCGCGAGGAATATTGAAAGGTTTATTGCAATAATATATTTACGGTTGTTCTTAATGGTTCCCTCTTGAGTCCTTGGAAGAGGGAGAGAGGTTTACACCTCTCGATTTTCATTGGAAAAGACTACTGCTTACCCATGGCTAGTCGAACGAGCAGACCCCCTCCAATGCAGCCACTGCCTGACGTTTAGTTCCCAGCTGTTCTGAGGCATTGCCCACTGATTTTTTTGTAGCATTCATACTCTAATGGCACGCGTTTCTTCCCATTCAGTAAGCTCAACGATAACGTGTTCAGCTTTTTGTATTACCGGTTCCACATGCATTTGATGACGTAGCACTGGGCACCAGATCGTATGGGAAATTCTCAGCGAACTCAAAAAGTAGCTGCAAAGTGAGCAAAAAAGCGTCGGCTATTGGCAATTACAATTATCATCTGGGCGTTTACATCCACTGATTATAGAATCACATTTTCAGAGTCACCTAACTCGCAAAGTGAATTGCCGCGATTTAAAGTCAATTGCGCGGGTCATCTAATTGGATTATGTACAAATCGGGGAAATATCACTTGGGGCGCATAATTAGAGTGATAATTCGTCTGTCACAGATTGCATTGTATACTGCACTTATGTGCATTTGTATATGTATTTTAATTGCAATTTCAGTTTATGGCGATCATTTACCGATAATATCAAATATCTGCTATCGATATCTTCCGAAAAATGGTGGCTTACAACATTAGTTGCTCTTTTCCTGATAGAATCTAGATTTATAAGCTAATCTGGAATTAATATACACGGTGTCTAAACTGGAAATCGTGTCTACATCATTTTTCGATTTTAAAACTCTTAAAACTTCAAAGAAAAAATTGATGCTGGAATGGGCACGCTACCATCAGGACGATCCACAGGACATACCGAATGAGCAGCCAGGGACAAAGGAAAAGTGAGTTGGCGGTGGAGAAAGAGTCGATGGCGCAGTGGGGTTCTTCAATGTGGACCAGGCTATCGTCTATGATAGATGGATGGACATCAAGGACAAGACTCCCTGAACTGTACAAGATTATCAACATCAAGAAGGAGGACCTTTGGGCTAAACAGGAGAGAATTATGAGCCTGGGGATCTAGCGGCGCACATCATACAAAAACTGAACGTACAAAAAAACAATCATACAATCGTACAATCAACAATCACGCTGAAAACCTGCGCTATTACAGCCTATAGGGTATGAGCAGTAAATAAGCGGATGATCTTAAATGCAAACAGTAACAATTATTACGGAATGGTAAGTAATTATAACAATATAAATATTTATTAAAATGTACGCACACACTATCGCACGCAGGCTATTCAATGTATCGATAAGATCAATCGACATATTTTATCACAGCCAACTTAACATTGAAGAGAGTCACAAAAAAATTGTGCTTAAAAAAAATAAATTGCTGAAGAAAAGGAGAAGTGTAAGTAAACAAAGTATATGGATAGATATATAGAAATATAAGCAAACATCTACACTACCGGTCCACTCACAGAGAAATACAGTAACGAAAATGAACAGCCAGGCAAGCCACGCAACCTCTTCGTCTTCCGTCGCCGCGAAGAGACGCCACACCGCCGAGCCAGTGCCGGTGCACATCTTTGGCAAACAAGTCTTGGCTGACATGAAGAGCCTCTGCATGGACCAGCTCTTCTCGGACATCACTTTCCTCGTGGAGGATCAGCGCCTGCCGGCGCACCGCATGATTCTAGGAAAGCGCAGCAAATACTTCTACGCCCTACTCTACGGTGGCATGTCTGAGTCAAAAAAAGATGTGATTCGGCTGGAGGTGCCGTTGGAGGCATTCAAAATAATCCTGGGCTACCTTTACTCGGGCACTCTGCCCATATCCCAACTGGACGTGAATGCCATTTTAAAAGTGCTCGGTTTGGCCAATATGTATGGCTTGCTGGAAGTCGAGACGGCCATATCCGAACATCTGCACCAGAATCTGGACGTCAGCAATGTGTGCATGATCCTGAATACAGCGCGCCTATTCAATCTTGCCGACTTGACCATGAAATGCCTCAATTTCGTGGACAGTAATACGAGCGCACTGCTCGCGCACGAATCTTTCCAAATGCTCTCGAAGGAATCGCTTGAAGAAATCCTGCGACGGGACACTTTGCTTGCCCACGAACTGCAAATTTTTCGGATGGTATGGAGCAAATAATGCAGCAGCCACAATCGTAACGAGGACATCAAGTCGTTGGTCTCGCTTGTACGTCTCCCTCTCATTTCTCTGCAAGACCTGGTGAATGTGGTGCATCCATCTGGAATTATCCACCCGGATGCAATATTAGACGCCATCAAAACAGCGTCCATTCCTTCGAATCTGGCCTACCGTGCCGCCGTACATCCACTGGTAAATGTGGCCTCAGAAACCCATGAGGCACGTCGTTTAACTGTGAAATCTATTGAGATCGTCAAGCTGAAGTTCTGGTGCATAATCAATAATATCGAAGTCGGGAGTACTCAAAATGCACTCTCGCTCAACTGCACCGTAGAGGTCTCTTGCAACATGACCCACTGGGTGGGCGTAGGAAAAATCAGATTTACAACATCAAAACCAACCCACAATATCCACTTCGCGCGCAGGCCTGTTCGCTACATTCGCATCGTACATCCAGAGAGTGGACGCATGGACATTTTAAAGGATATGCCAATTTTAGCCCTTTTGAACACTTTTGCAATATAACAACATTTCCTAGATGATCGATCGACTTGAAGACTGTTGGAAGTATCGACCCCTGACTGAAGATCTAACGACTTGTTCCTTTTCTTTTTCTTTAAATGGATTTTTGTTATTTTAATTTACTTTAACTCTAATTAATTTCTCCCAATGGATTAAATTCGTATAACTATAGAGATATACATACAGCATTTTTGTTACTTAACATAAGATTTGTCTTGTTCGATTTCCAAGAATGCGAGAAAGTTGACCCACACCCCGGACAACTATCGGAATCAGGACAGTGCCAGGTGTCCAAGTCCTATCGGCATCGTAGGACATTGGTTGACATTTTCTTGTGGGGATGAATATGTGTTGTCAATGGCTGTGCTAAAGTATGTATGCGCTAAATTATTCACTCCCTTGGAACTCCTTTCGCGATTGCTACAGATGGCTGCGGATCCTCTTCTACAGCAGCTGAACTAGGGGCCATGGATTGTTTGGCCGTGTTTGTCCCTATTTTGCTGGAAAGTATGTCAGGTCCTGGTGCAACACAATGACCGTCAGCCGAGCAGGTGGGGCAGATACCAAAACCATCCAAGATCCAATCGTCTTTACTTGTTGCTTTGAGACGCCTCCAAACTGTTTTTGCCGAAATTTCGAAGGAACTTTTTTGGACGCCGTCTTACTTGTACTTACAATACGCCCGCAAAATCCGATTTGTATACCAATCAGCTGTTGTGCACTAGCACTAACAGGTGCTCTGTTAGTGTTAAACGCAACTCTGTTAACCTATATCAGTATTTATGTGGTGACTGTTAGGCGCGGTAATATATGGTTTTTACAGGCGAGTTAAGGGTTAAGGGGTGTCGTTTTACAACACTCGTTTTCTCGTACCAACAACAACATAAACAAAAACAAAGAACAATTTTCCAGGGAGATAGCCGCTACGCAACGCGGCTGCCAAATCAATATAGAAAATGAGCATAGACGACGTCATCTATGTAATCTGCCTGCTGGCCTGCATCGGGGCCGGCAATTATGTGCGGAAGGTGCGCGATGAGGCCCAACGCAAATTGGTATCTACGGCACTGGGTGTGATTGTGGTGGTCATTGTGTCGGGCCCGCTCCACAGCCTGCATTGCATTGCATCCTTGGCCTTGGGCACCGCCAGTGTGCTGCTAGTGCATCCAAGGTGAGTTTCTGCATAGATAAACGCATCTAATTATGATAATTACTTGGGAACTTATCCTCCAGCAAATGCCATTTGGTTACATTTCTCATAATGTTTGGCTACCTGGTGTTCTTCCGGCTGTTTGACTTCTACTGGAGCATTCCTGGGCACACGAACATGATACAAATGATACTTACACTTAAGGTTAGTTGCATAATAATGAGGTGATTGATTTCACGCTTCACTTTCTGCGCCAGGTCTCGGGTGTTGCCTTTGAAAAAACAGCCGCCTGGAAACGCATACGCGAAAAGGATGAACAGGACAAGAACGCTCAGCGGGACGTGAACAGCGAAAGTCCCATTGAGATCACCGACTACGATCTGGAGCTGCAGCAATTGACAGCCGCTGAAATAGTGCACTATAGCTTCAATTACATCGGGGTTCTAACAGGTAGAGAACATTTGAAATCATTTGGATTCACAGTATGCTGATATCAAAGTCCACCTCATTGAGTGGCTGCCGCAATTACTGATAGAAAACGTGTATCTGGCATAAGAACACGACTTCCACAAGTGCTGTAAACGATGATCAAACGATAGACTAATCTCAAAATTCTTCTTACCAGGCCCCTACTATCGCTATCGCACATATAGGGACTACTTTGATATGCCATTTAAGACGCATGCCCCGTGCATTGATGCCACCATTGAGAAGCTCAAATGTGCCTCCTTCTACTGCGCCCTGTATCTGGCCACCAACTACGTTTGGCCCCTGGATGTGAGTCCTTTTGCGCCTCAATTCACAGCCCATTTAATACATTCTCCCCTTTCCAGTATGCTTTGAGCGATGAGTTCTACAATGATCGCTCATTTGTCTACCGGCTGCTGTATGTGTGGCCCACCTTCTTCACATTCCGGGCACGAATCTACACGGGTCTGACCCTCAGTGAGTGCGTCTGCACAATGGCCGGGTTTGGGGCCTATCCGGACGAGGCTGATGCCAACAATGGCGAGGGACCCCGCAAGCGCTATCAGCACTTGAAACGCGATGCCGACAAGCATACCTACAACTTTACCACGATTGTCAATACCCGAGTGATGGAAGTGGAGCGATGCTGGACCTTCCGCGAGGGCATGAAGCACTGGAATGTCTGCGTGCAGTACTGGCTGGCCGTCAATGTCTACAAGCTGTTTCCCAGCAAGAAGTACAGGTGGGTGATGAGAGTTCTGTGGTTATATGATGCTATGAAAATGCATTGGTACTGTTCCAATGATAATTTCATAGCGTTGTAGACCGCTTTTGTGGCTTTATTGCTAGTTGTATTGTATACTCGCTATTGTAATTGTTCTTTCCATTGCCACTGATCGCAGGGTTGGCAGGTATTCAACCGTAGTGTTGATATTTATAGATCTCTCGTTCAGTTTCCGTATTAACATGCTCTTGAAAACCTTTTAGAACGGGTGCCACTCTGCTCTGCTCGGCCTACTGGCACGGATTCCGGCCGGGACACTATTTCTGCATCATGGGCGCTCCCTTCTATGTCTCCCTGGAGGATATGTGGAACAAGCTGGTGCGCAAGGATGCCACTGGCCCGGTACGGACCGTCATCGATGTGCTCTTCTGGATATTCAAGTGGTTCGCCTTCAGCTACTTGGGCGTGGCCTTCCTGCTCTCCTCGTTCGGCAACATTTGGCGTTTCTATAGCTCTGTGTATCACATTGGATACATCTGCTGGGCGGCGATGATTGGACTCGGCTTTATCCTCACAAACCAAAGGAAGGCAGCCGAACGTCGCAGGCAGAAGCGTGCAGCTGGTGGAGACACTGCTGCAGTGGAGGAAAAGAAAGCGCAGTGATTTCTATTGGATTAGCTTTAAAAGACAGTTCAAATACAAAAGAAGTCACCCAATTGTTAAGTGTTCCATTAAGTCCAATGGTAGAGACTGCAAACGTCTTCGCCACTACATGGCTAAATTTCTATTATAAACGACACCGATCAAGGCACCATTTGCTTGTTAAAGTTCTAAAGTTATATTCAACAATATCAGGCCCAACTATGTACATTTATGTAACTACTTCCATGTCTAACAGTTAAAGCCTACCTTCCATATGCATAACCATCCATATTTTATCCGGGAAAAGATGATGATATTAAATGATATTAGTTTGTAGATCACATATGTTAACCAAAATAAAGTGAATCCTAATGTAACAAAAATCGCTTCTGCTTGGGTTACCCCAATCCATAATCGATTTACTCATTATTTAGCTTAAGTTCTCTTCTTTTTTTTTATTGAAAATACTCGTAAGTAAGTAATTCTATGATTTTACACAAGTCTTGCTTATCGAAAAATTCGAGATTTACACAAATGGATTTGTTTTTGCGGTCAGGATAAAATTAAAATTCGAGAGTAAATTTAATTAATTTTCTGGGAAATTTTAGGTGTAAGTGTAACTATAATTGTAAAATGATTTAGGGAGCCTTTTTGTGGGTGTGTGTATGTGTGTGTGTATTATATTCGATACCAGCTCGAATTTGGTCTAAATTCAATGCGTTACGATTTCAGTTTGTGTGTAATAACAATTTAGTTCGAATATGGGTAGCATGGCAAGAGATTTCCTGTTGCTGTTGTTGCGAATGGGGCTGCTGCGGAAGGATATCATGCCGAGGATGGCTCATCGGTGACCAGAGAGAGGCGACGCTTTACATCCTGTGTGGTGTTGTAGGCGCCGCAGTGCACGCACTTGAGTCCGATGAAATGAAATTTGGTTTTGCAAGTCTGAAATACAAAATAGAGATAGAGATATCCCTACCTTAGGTAGACACTCGACGCTCACCTTGTGACAATCGTTGCAGAAGATATGCACTCGCTGATTCTCGTACTTGAGCGTCACGGGCATGCGTAGGGCCTGATCGTCCAGATACTCCCACAGCGCCGTCATGTCGATCAGCGAGGTCTGGCAGGTGGGGCAGGTGTAGTGGCCTGAGGCAAGGAGCTGATCGAAACACATCTTGTGCAGCAGATGGCCGCAGTCGGGAATGTGGCAAGGAATGCGCGAGGTGTGTATGTCGCCCAAGCAAACAGGACAGTGCGACCGGGAGATGTTTTCCACGCACTGGAAAACGAAAACGAAAACCAAAACAAGGAACGCTCCATTAATTAAAGATTCAAATCTGCTGCGAATTGCTGCGGCCAATTAATTAAGTTATCTGTTGAACAGTTTTGACATTCATAACCACTCAACTAAATCGCGAGCCACAAAAAGCAATTAGGCAACCGGTTTCGGCTATGAATTGACACAAAATTAATATGCAAGCTGGCGATTTCTTTGATCCGCTTTCAAATTACGCGGAGGTCAATCCACATGTATCTATAGTTGGCGCTGAAAGTGCTTTTAACTTGGGGGAGTGGACTCACCCGATGGCCATCGATCTTCAGCTGGATGGGCAGACACATGTTGCAGACCTCGCAGTGAAAGAAATTGTCAGCGCCGCCAATGCGACAGATGCCACAGCCATGACAATGATATTGCTGCTTGTCCGCGTCATCAAATAGATTGCATATGAGGCATGTATACTGCAAAAGAGGAGCACGGTTATCCAAGGAATCACTTGGAGTAAGGCATAGCACGTTACCTTGCCAAATCTCACGCCACAGTTCTCGCATTGCTCTTGCACCGTCTGCCGCGTGTTGCACTCGGAACAGATGAGTTCTGTGAGTGTCTTCCGATCGAAGTGATGGGTCTCGTTCTCATCGTGGCAGAACCGGCACTTGTAGAACTTATTGCAGCACGGAGTCTAAAAGAAAGCCAAGAAATCGATTATGGAATGGAAAATTAGTTATCCTACAGTAAATCTGAAAATATTCCGCCTTGAGTTTCCACAGTCAAGGACTGAACAAACATAATTCATTAGCAGGCGTCGCGGTGACACATCTACTAATTCTCAAATTGAGTTGCTAATCAAAGAAATCTGCCTGGAAACGGAGCACAAAATGAGTGACGTCTGGGGGGCTCAAAAGCAAATCAATCGTTTGGCGTCGGATCCACTGGTCTGCTCTTAGCATTATCATAAACATTGCAGTCGAAAGCAAAGGCTCTCCTGCGTTGTAGGAATTATGGAGCCCTAATCAAATCAAAATCACTTGTAAAGATCCCATACGATACCCCAAAGCTACCCGTGTCGTCGGTTCATTAGATGTTTGCTAATTGATTCGCCCGACCAATTATCAACATTTGGTTATGATAAAGATAAAGACCAAACGTATTTGGTATTTGTGTGTTCATATGGATCAGGTTTCGGACTTTGTCGCGGAGTAGGGTTAAAGATGGATTTAGTTTATAATTTATCTGTTATCTACCCCTCGTCACACGTTTCTACGTGTCTGCTATGTTACTTACAAGACCCAAGAACTCTTGCATTTGTTCTATTTATACTATGTCAAAAGTGAGACGCCCACAATCGTAATGCTATATCTGGTACAGCTCTCCACCTCGTACTATCTTTGAGGATTATTTATAACTTTAACAACCTTTTTTTTCGTATATGTATGTATGTATTCTGGTATTCTTTCAACTTTGCTGTGATGATAACACTTGAAATACAGAAAACGGAGTAGAAGCATCTTTAAATCCGGTTTCTTTGTGTGTTTCTCCTCCATCCCAAAAAAAAGAGGGATTTTATGGCTGTGTTTCACTAATGATCATATTATTTCTTTCCAGAATACATATATTTGGCCCAGACAAAGACAGAAGTTAAGTAACAGCAAGGTTCTATGATAAATTAATACAAGATCTCTGAAGAATATATACAGACTCGTACTCGTACTCGTATTTGAGGGGTAAGTAATGGCGGGCATTGCTCCACTTGTGTTCTTAACATTGAGCTTAAATCCACAGGTATGCATAAATTAATTTCACGCATTGTTCAGCTTACAAAAACACACACACACACCCAGTATAAATATTAAGTATTTAAAACAAAACAAAAACTCCACCTGATTCAACATTTCAGTAAAATGCAAATACTGTACGGTTTCTCATACGTTGGAAAATTCTGTCTCCTGGAATATTACGAGTGTTAGTATCACATTATTCCACTGGTTGTAATACGTGTACATACAAAAGCAGAAGCAGATCGAAAGACCCTTAAAATTGTGAGATATTTAGGACAGATTTGGGCGCAGTACGGCTATACGTGACATTTTTTTTTAGGGAGCTATAAAGCTTGGAAGTAAATTTCTGTTATATCATAAAAAATTCTTCATTTTTACGATGAGTTGTACTCAGGAATTTGTATAGCAATTTCATTCTTGAAGATGCTACTCTGAATATTACTTGAAATTGTGAAGATCTCTCCCAAATCATGATGATCAAAAACTTTTCCATTTCCTATACGTGGCATTTATTTAGAGAGCTATAAAGCTTGGAAATAAATTTCAGCTTTATGATGAAAAATTATAGTATACTGAGGAATTTTGTAAAATGATCAGCCCTTCCCTTTGACTCGGTGATGAAATCCTCAATTCGACTTAATCGTTTGGAATTTGAGATTTCATCCCGTTTTATCACATTGATTGTAGAGTCAATCAATGATGTTTGATTTTTAAGCAAGGTTAATAGGTGATCTTCGTTATCCTTAACCTTTGCTATAGTTTCCGACATTTCTCGGGCATATGTTGAATCTAATACGCCAAATAGACTGCTTGCGATGTTTCCAATGATGTCCAGCGGTGCCCTTTGCCTCCGTGTTCTTGCTATTAGTGTATTTTCAGCTTGCAGGTCCTCTTCTATATGTTTGACGTGCTGATACATACTGGTGCATGCGTCTACTAGTTGAAGTTGTGTGCATAGATGTCCAATTTTTGTAGTCCCCATGGTGAATGTGTTCATGTCTTTCCAATAGGGCTTTAAATTGTAATAGACAATGATGGTCCAATCAGTTGTCGCAAGTTGGCTGGTTCCTACTCTTTCAAAGTATATACCCGGTTTTGATCCAAGCTGGGTTATGTTGATTGACTGTGCCATCGCTAACGGTACCAGCAACAACATTACAAACATTGTCATGGTTAACGACAATTTATTCGGCTGTGTCCTTTTCCTAGGCTGTCTGTCCTCGGATGATTCTTCGTTTTCTGATGGATCATCTATCGGATGTTTATGTGTGGGTTCCTCTTCGTTGAATAGTGGAGCTACATGTTGGATCTCTCGTTTGAAAATCCCCTTTGCCGTTTTTACTTCCACCACTCGTACAAAATTGTCCTTGCCATGAAACAATCGAATGATTCTTCCTAGTGGCCATTGTAATACTGGTGTATTGTCTTCCTTTAGTATTACTAATGTTCCTTCCTTAATGTTAGCCGAAGACTTCCTCCACTTTTGACGCTGTTGCAACTGCTGAAGATATTCATTGGACCATTGTGTCCAGAATGAGTGCTTCAACTTTGACACTGCTTGCCATCGATTTCCTAGCGTCTTTGGCTGCTGGGATGGCTCTCTGTCAGCTTGTGCGGTTAACGGCTCTCCTATCAGGAAATGCCCTGGCGTTAGTGCTGTTACGTCGTTTGGGTTGTCAGATATCGGTGTTAATGGTCGAGAGTTTAGTATGGCCTCTATTTCGACTATAACCGTTTCTAACTCCTCATAAGTTAGATTTGCCGTCGTCACATTTTTTAAGAGGAGATGTTTGGCAGATTTTAGTGGAGCTACATGTTGGATCTCTCGTTTGAAAATCCCCTTTGCCGTTTTTACTTCCACCACTCGTACAAAATTGTCCTTGCCATGAAACAATCGATTCCTGAATACTTGGAATTCTAAAGATCTCCACCCTCATTATGATCATCTTCCTAATTGAATTTTGAAAAATTTTCCATTTCCTTTCACATTTTCCAAAATTTTCCTGCCTGTACTTCTACTTTCCCTTGCATTGAGTCATACGTGGCATTTATTTAGAGAGCTATAAAGCTTGGAAATAAATTTCAGCTTTATGATGAAAAATTATAGTATACTGAGGAATTTTGTACAGCAATTTTATTCCTGAATACTTGGAATTCTAAAGATCTCCACCCTCATTATGATCATCTTCCTAATTGAATTTTGAAAAATTTTCCATTTCCTTTCACATTTTCCAAAATTTTCCTGCCTGTACTTCTACTTTCCCTTGCATTGAGTCATTTTTTCTCCCTCACCTACATAAATATTATCGTATATCAACTGTACGGGTATCCCATACCCTACTTATCACCTCTCAATAATTATGTCTCTGGTGCCTCCTAATTGGCAGAGTAAAGACCTGGGATATTACCGGGAGAACGATTGCTTTATGTGCATACACAATTTCACATTGTTCATAATTTTTTAGACCCACCAGCAACAACCACAAAAAGTAAAGAAGATATACATACACGCATTATTTGCCCAGATCAATGGAGAATGGAGGTGTTAAATGGGCGCTCGCCTCACTTGCCGGCCTGCCCACTGGAAATTCTTTCACTGTGAATCGGAACAGACGCAGGGCCGATCCGGTTTAATTTGTTGCCAGACCAGTGTCTACTTAGATCCGATGGACAGACCTTCCCCCTTGGCTGTCCGCGCCATTTCCGTGCAAATAGTAATTCCATTCAATTGAAATTACATAAAACACTGGAGGTACTCGTTTCTGTTTAGACTTCAGACACTTTATTTGCTTGGTTTGTTTAAAAACATATAAATAAAGCTTTGAATACCATTTTGGGGGCTGGAGCTATAGCAGCACTTGGACGACAGCAAAAGTACCAGATGGCTTCTGGCGCCAACATTACTTTCCCTCAAAATGTGCGAAATTCTTCGACTTTAAAAGGTGATTTGATGGGAATTTCTTGCCCGCAAATATATAGAAATGGATATTGGGAATAATTGAAATGGTTATCCATAGAAAGCCGAGTTCCCCGAAAGAACCCTCGATAAGTAGGGGTATTTTTATGCCATGGTTAATCCCTGGGAGCCAAGCTCTTGTTCAATTCTAATCGAATGACTAAGAGCACCCTTTGATAAAGAATTGTTTCGAAATTCTTTGGTAATTTTTTTTACTGTCCCGTTAGACCCGCATATTGAGTCAATTTATATTAATATGAAATGCGTTTCGTTATTAATACGTATATCGTGGGGAAATATTTATTGAGACATTTATTTCCGCTGAGGCCTAAAGAATTTTCCTCTTCTAGAAAAAGTGTTCTTTTTATTGAGCAACACGGAATTCCATTATATCCAGAGAGTTGTTTCATTTAGAAACTTTTCTTTCAGAGGTTTCCAAGCTCTTCATCAATCACTGGCTCTGAAGACCCTCTTAGCTCTAAAGTATTCTTCCAATTAATGAAACAAAAAAGATGAATGTATTCCTTATTTTCTGGGCATGTTTCCCACTAGCAATTCCACTATTTCGTTTGGTATATTTTCTCTCAGAGATTCCTGAACGTGTTCATAATTTGTCCTCTATAGTCAGTATGATAAAGACACTTACCACAAACATGGCACGTCGCTTATAGTGTGCACATCCAAAGCGCAATGACTCCGGTGTTGTTGGCGTCGCATTGCTGCACTTGTTGTTGCAACTATCGTTATTGCCGCTGCTGGTGGTGAAGCGTGAAAATTGTTCATGTTGCTGGGGTTCCACTTCCATGCAGCAGTGGCTGCTGTCGACTGTAGCGACAGTTTCGCTAGCCTCCGAGGCGGTTTTTGGCTGGGAGATGATGTGGCGACGCCAGACAATGGCCGGTGGCTCCTCCTCGAGAAGGAGACTTGGCGTGGACTTGGATTTTCGCATCTTCACGTATGTTGGAAAATCGCCCGTCATGATTGTAGGCGGCATAATCAGCTGTAGACGTTGCTCTTGTTGTGTTGCTGCTGCTATCTGGGAAACAGGAACAGTAACAGGCGGAGATAGAGACGGAGACGGAGACGTACGCGGAGCATCATCAGCAGCAGCAGCCTCCAGTGAGGTCGCTCTCGACGACAGCTTTGACGATGAATTTAAATTGACTTGATTGGGTTCTTTTGTATTGGTAGATATTTGTACATCAATGTGGTTGTACTTGTTGTGGCTTTCATTGAGAGATATTCGGCGCTGCCTCTGGCGATTCTTCATTCTGTTGCAGGAGCACGGAATCGAAATCTACAGATACTTTTGTATCTTCTCTTTGTTTTCCTACAAGTATGCTGCCGTTGCAGTTGTCTTTGTTAATTGTTGCCTCTTCAATTGCTGCCGTAGCATTTAAATTATTTTCTGCTGCTTCTGCTGCCGCGGCTGCTGTTGTGACATAGACTTTGTATCCGCCTCATCGATGGCCGGCCGCAACGTGAGTGGACTCCAATCCTCTCTCTCTCTCTCTCTCTCTCGTTCTCTCTGTGTGTGTGCTTTCCACTGGTATTATCCCCAAACTTTCATTTATGCAACAGCTCCGCTCCTCCTTAGGCATGCGAAGCGCGTAGTTGTCAAATTTTTTTGCATCTGAGACAGTGGTTGGTTGGAAAGCGAACGACGATTAAAATGTGTGTGGGAAAGTGTTAACTGCCTGCTTTTTCCCCGCCCCATTGTTTAAGCACAGATTAAGCAAATTAAGCAAAGTGAAGCGTTCAAAACCACAAAAAAAATGACCAGAGAATACATCAATCGGTGAATCCCCGCGGGACAACTTTAATGTTTGACTAAATAAACGTATTACAAAAAGCGTAAAAAGCAATAAATCTAACTTTCAATGTTTCCCAGCCCCGTATTTGTATGGAAAGGCCATCAAAATTAGATAAGAATTATCTTGATTTTAGACGCTTTTCTTTGGCTTTTCGTAGTATATGCAAATGGAACGGGGACCCTGAGCCATGTGAGCTCTGGGGGATTTAAACGTCTAAGCTAAATGGGTTTTTAGATATTTTTCACACTGCCTTGACACACAGTGCAGCTGTAGGGATCGCGGATCATGGATCGGGGATCCATACACCAAACACTTGTTAACATAAACCGGCGCACGACTCTGCAAAACTTTCGCTCTGCTAATATTATGCTATGGCTGAAAGGAGGAAGAGGCACGGAAAACACTACACCGCCAGATGAGCTTTTAGTGGTGGTGGTAGTATTATCTGTGTGTGCATCTGTATCTCTCCCGCCCTCTCTCTCTCTCTGCCAGTGGGTCTCTGTTGTCATTATCGTATTGTGGTTATTCCTATTTGCATAGCCGCTGAGAGCAGAAAAATCGTTGTTGAATCTCTTGTTTATTCAGTTTGTTTTTCGCAATTATCAAAAAGGGGAGCACAGCCGCCAGCGACAATAAATATTGAAAGTGTGCGAAATATTACACACGTAAACCAGTCCCGCCAAAGAATCGCAAAACGAAAACGAAACTCTAAACTTGATTTTGGTTTTCAATTATTAAACATTTCATGGTTTACGCACGCACACGCACAGTAGACACACTCACACACACACACACACACACACACACGCGGTGTGACACTCGCTCATTGACACACAAATTGCAGTCGATCAAACAAGACAAAAACGCATTAAATAAATGGTCACGATTTCAATGTAAACGGTTTCCAAAAGTTTCCAATACAATCCAATCCGCAAAATCCAAACCGCCTTCAACATGAAGTTTGGTTTGGCAGTACATGCGAGTACGAGTACGGCTCTGAATGCGTGCATTATATATTGGTTTTGTGTTTTTTTTTGAAAAACCGATTTCTTGTCTAACGTGTTTTTTTGTTTTTTTTTTTATTTGATTCGCGACTTCTTCGCTTAACCGCTTATTGTGATTTTTGCTGAAATTCAGCCTTTAATTATAATTTTGCTCATTCGTTAATTATAATTTATTAGCAATAACAGATATACTTGAAATTAAGACGAAACGCACAGCACAACACAACACACCACACCACACAGATCCGCAGATCGCAGCTCTCGGATCGTCAATTGAATTGAATAGCCACGGCGACGGCAACGCCAACGGAGACGACACGGCGTCGACTGTAATATAGATCCGCGTTCAACGACTCCAGCAGATCCGCTTCGAGCGCGGCGAGCTTCGATTCTCTACTGAACAGAGCCGCCGCCACGCCACCGTGGGGCTTCAAAAACACTTGTTGCTGCGTCCCGCCTGTCCGTCCCCACAAAAAAAGCTTTCTCTCTCTTCACTTGTGCTTAAAGCTACATGCGTTGCCAGCTTATGTTGGGGTATATTTGAAAAGATCGTTGAAGGATTAAGGTGCAATATATTTAATATATATTGAATATACATAAAAATACTATATATGAGCCTCTGGGCAGGTTGCAGGTTGTGTGAGGTTGTGGTTCAAATCACAGCTAAATGCTTAGGCATAGACTAAATTGTAATTGCATTAATTATGTCATAAATAGGTCACTAGCAAATGCCAAGCCGTGTTCTATGCAGTGTCCAGACTAGATCTAGACCTTCTCAATTTGGACAAATCTCTCGCGCTTGTACTGATCGTAATAACTGCCCACAAAGTTGAGGCGACCCTCGTACTTGAGATGCATTATCGTTTTAACCAGCGGCGGATGCTCGTTGCCCAGCTCCAGCCAGAGTTTGCCCCCGGAATGCAAATGCCGGCAGGCCAGATCAAAGACCAGGCGAGCCACTCTCAAACCATCCGAGCCGCCATCCAAGGCATTGAGGTTCTCATACCTAACAAGAGAATGAAAGCTATAGCGTTATATAATCATCATTAAGCTGAGGCTTGAACTCACACAACCACTTCGGGGTGGAGAAACTGAAACTCCTCCGTCTTCACGTAGGGCGGATTCGATATGATCAAATCGTACTTCTTGTCCTTCAGTGGCTCTGGCATGTACTGGTCCTCCTCCATGGTGTGATTGTGCACCTGGAAACGGTCCTGAAGACCCAACAACTTGGCATTCTCCGCAGCCAAAACAGTGGCCGCCTTACTTCGCTCAATAGCCGTGGCCTCAACCCGCGGCAGTGCATGCAGAATGGACAGTGACATGGCGCCCGACCCACAGCCCACTTCCAGCATATTCACATGCTTCACATTTTTGTAGTTCTCAATGACCAGACGCACAAACTCCTCCGTCTCGGGGCGTGGAATGAACACAGTGGGCGCTGTCTTTAAGGTAATGTCTAAGAAATCCCATTCGCCGATGATGTGCTGCAGCGGCATACGGGCACAGCGAGCCTCCAGGAAGCGCTCAAAGTCTGCCAGTTGTTTCTGATCGAAGTGCAGCTGGGAAAAGTTGTCGGGAACAGTGTTCTGTCAAGGCGGGGATAAGTGAGGTTAGTTGTGGCCATCCAATGTGTCTTGAATGCTATTTTCTGACTGATACTTTACAAATTTACGCTTCAGCACATGCGACACAATACATTTCAAATTGAATTCGGTGTCTGAGACGCCAGCGTCCTGCAGCTTCTGCGACCATCCCTCCATAGCCTTGGTTACGGCAACCAATTGTCCGCCAGTGGAATTTTTTCCACTTCCGCTGCTGCTGCTGCTGCTGGCATAATTATAATGCGTGAGTGCCCGCGAGGTCAGGCGCACTGACCGTGTCAAGTATTTAAACATAATTTAGCCTTATTATCTAATTTCTATTTTATCAACAAATTTTGACTGCACTGCAGTCCAGTGTGACCTTATCGATAAGATATACGGTCCGACCCTCAGAAATACGTCTCATTTTAAAAATATACCGTAAATATACTGACGAATTCAAGTTATATTTTACATATTCCTCGTTTTTAATATTCCGTCGAATATTATTAGCTAGATAAAACATTTTGCTATGCCCACATAATTTTCTACGATTTATGAATCAATTTTCCACTTAACTGGCTTATTTTAACCACTTGCTTTTATTGCATTATGCGTAAAAAAAGGTTTTGGCGAAAAAGGTCAACAGAATTGAACGTATAAAACGTAAGAGAAAAATCGTTCCAATTGATCAATTTCTTTATTCCGTTGAATAATTCTGCCTAACTAAAACCCTTAGTTCTGCCCACTTAATTTTATACGATTAATGAATCAATTTTCTATTTGACTGGCTTGCTTTAAATAATTGCTTTTATTGCATTTTGCATAAAAAAGGTTTTAGCGAAGTAGTTTTAACTTTTCAATTACCAGCACTGGTTAATCGTTGATGTCTTTTCGATTTCTTGCCAATCGGCTGCAACCATCATTAAGTGTGACCGTACTGCAGAAGGTGTGACTGTTTTGCTGAAACTATTGGAACAATTGGTTAATGGCCGTTATTTTGTTTAATACAAAAATCGCATTAAATTTGCAATAACCTTTGAAGGGGTTTTATAATTTGTCAGAAATAAACTTAATTTACAATTGATGCCTCCCCTATACATTCTTTTCCAAGGCTGATAAAAATGATGGATGGCAATTGTCAAGTGCAATATTTATTTACTCTATGATCAAATAAACCATTTAACAGCGTTGTAAATAGTTAAAGACACTTGTGCACACATATACATATATATGCGGTCGGTGTAGAGTGTAGTTCCGTTCCGTTTACACTTCCTATCTCGATTGATTTCCAGAGAATTTAAAAACGTATCTTTGTTTTGCCGTACTTATCAGTGTTTATTTTACAACATATTAAAATATTCATACCATTATATGTGTATTGTATATATTCACATTACGATTGCACAATTTTTACCGAAAAACGAAAAAAACAACAGAAAAATTAAGCAACAAAATTTTACAAGTTTCCTTTAAGTACTGAAATTTTATGGAATTTCCGTTGCTGCTCTATCTGATTGATGGAACGCAACATTCAGATTGAAACGAAAAAAAGAACGAAAATCTATCATCCTCAGTCTATATAGCGATGCTGCGCAGTCAAAGATGTCCGTGCAGAGGATCGCGTGTGTCCCTCAGATAAACGGGACTGGTGAACGATTTGCCCTCGACCTGCGAGACGAGATTCTCCCCGGCGTACGTGACGAACGGCGAGATCTCACAGATGTCACCGTGCACAATACCGCCGGCGTTTTCAATGTACTTCTTGTGCAGCCGGTGCAGGTCCGACCGGGCCGTGCTGGGGCAGTCCTTGCCGGCCACATCGGCATTCTTCAGAGCGCTAAACTCCTCGTCACGCGGCACTTCCATGGCCACAAACTTTTGGGCAAACTCGAACACATCGAACACAAACTTTTCGATCTTTATGCCATTGGGCTTGTCCGGGGTCAGGCGCTTCCCGGCATTGTCCACAAAGGGGATCTTCTTTTTGGCCACGTGCAGCTTCAGCTCTTGCTCGAATTTGTTGCCGATATCCTGCAGGAAGCTCGAGCTGAAGAAGTGATTGCAAATATTCCCAGCACTGAAGGTCAGCCGTCCGTCTGAGTTGCGCATCTCCGCTGTCTTGGCGGAGATCTCACTGTACTCGACCACCTGGTACTTGCCGTCGACAATGGCCACCACGCCCACGGGCTCATTGGGGGCTGCCTTCTCCACCACCTTGGCAGCGCAATCGGCCTTCTCCTGCACACAGAAGCCAATGAAGACGGGATCGGCCACCTTAATCAGTATATTGTCCACACTATGGGCATGCAAGTAGAGCACTCCGCGTTTCTGCATGTCCTCCAGTATGCCCTGGCGCTTCATGGCCCTGAAGATGCCTCCGTTTCCGTCCGGGGCACGTGCCACTCGATGCTTCTCGTCCAGAATGATGCGTCCATCGTATTCGAAGCATGGAAGTGAGCCCTGCTCGAAGAGCAACACATTCTCCGGCTTCAATCCGAAGAAGTTGTTGGCCACAAAGTAGTCGTACGTCGGTTGGACTGTGTGCTCCGACGTCATGATATACCAGATAATGTGTCCAAGCTTTCCGTTCGCCTCCTGGGCCAGCTCCTGCAGCTTCAGAATGCGTTCGGCCTGGATGCGGAACAGAGATTTTCTCGACTGCAGTCCAACATCGTACATTCCCTTGGGATGATCGAAGCCAAGTCGTGTGCCTGCAAAGAGTAGGGGCAGGTTATTAGAAAGGGAAACTCTAGACATACGAGGAAGCCTGCCTGATCCATCATCCAATAACAAGAAGTGCAACATATTCAATTTCCTACCCTGTTGGCCTTAAAAACATGTTTCGGTTTTTTGGGCTTTACGCTTTGTCTTTTGTCCCAACATCACAGTCACACTCGAGCCACATTTGAACACCCATTTTAACATTTAAGCGGCTCCACAGAAGGTCAGCCGCACTACCGGTTTTTAATTATCAGTTGATATAAGCAATTTATCGGTTGGCGAACCATATATACTCCGCCATGGACTCCTCTGGGGAGTGCATACCAGCCAGAGCCCGGGTTCTAGCCAGGGAATGGCAGCATTATTCCTACTCGTACGAGCAGTACCGTTGAGCGTTGACTACGTGCAATAAATACTACAAATATAAGGTACAACGCCCCTTCCCCTACCACTGACGCTGCCCCGGCCAGGCTTTTATCTCTGTTTGATTTCTTTCAAGTCAATTACGTGATTCGACTGCACCTCTTTGCTGGGGCTTTCTGCTGCTTGCTTTGGGCCTCGGTTCACTCCCTCGCACACACACAAAACGGGAAAGGAAATGTCAAATGCCGCTAACATTTCAATATGGCGCTTGGAACAGAAGTGCCCGAGCCAGAGCAAAGTAAAACGAATAAGAACGATGCAGCCCAGACTTAAGGAATACCCAGTACACAGATTCATCTGTTTTTTATTGAGTGGACACGATCTTGTGGTTGAACTAATCCCTCAAAGGTCACTCTATAAAGGAGAGAAAATGATTGCAGAATGCATTGAATTTATAGCCATATATGCTATATGGTATATGCATTTTAGCAGCTATAGCTCTTAGTGAATTTCGAAATTCGATTATGGTTGTTCCTTCTGGCTGTTTCACATACCCTTCTCCTCTAGGGTACTACTACAAAAAAAAAGAAAGGCAGTGACTGGCCATAAGAATGGCTTACATTTTGTTGCAGGAGGCGTGTGGTTGTGTCTTGCACATGGAATTACAATTGCAACAAAAGCCAGCAACAATCATGCAGCTGCTTGAGTGGGCAGCTGATTGAGATTGAACGAACCGCGTGCGTCCCTCTATGTCTGTATTCTGTATTCCGCGCTGTGCTGTGGCTCGATTTTTATATCAAGTTAATTAGTTTTTTCACACCACCACACAGACATATCCCGCACTGACAGTGCTGCTGTTGCTGCTGCTCTGGACTAATGTTGGAAGTTGTTGGTTATTCTCTTTATTTGAGTTTACATTTTGTTTATTGCACATCAAGGCAGAAATGTGAGTGGAGTGGTGTGTGGGTGGGAGGTATGGTGGTCTGTCTGATTAAAAACATCTCATATCAGATGGAAACAAATAGAACAGAGCAAATTTCTCTTAACATCCAGAAAAGGTTAGTCATCGCTGCTGCTGCCCTTGAGATGCAAAAGTTTTGGTGAAATTTCAAATACAATTTTTAAAAAAATGTACACGAAAATATCCACTATTTCTGTATAATTCTGTAAACTAATTGCCACATTCTATTTAATGTTTCCGAGGCAGTAATCACAATCTTTCATTAGAACTGCCATGATTCCTGCTTTTTTAAGATAATTCACTAGGCAGATAATCCATATAATCGACAAAGCCCAAAGGACTGATATAAATACAAACATTAATGTTTATATTATCATTCCAAGCCAAGAAAAAACACCTTTGGCTAATCATTTGTGCTAATTAAACACAAGTGTTTGTTGGGTTCGTTGGGTCTGTTTGGCTTTTCCCCCCCTAGCGCCCCCTTTGGGATTGTGTGACCTTCACTTACCTTGTCCGCCCGCCATAAGCAGCACAGCGACATGTCCGTTGCTGATCTGACGCAGTCCCTCATCCCGATAGGAGGCCAGCTTATCCTCAGGGGTCCGTGCAATGGATATCACCTTGCCCTCGGGTATGGGCTGAAGGCGATCGTCCAACTTAATACCATTCTCGTTCATCGAGACGGTGGCCCGATCGAAATACTTTTTGATCTCATCCAGATTCAGTTCCTCGATGTCCCGCACCAAATCGGCGCGTTTGTCAGGTGTCAGCTCGTCCCAAAACTTCAGCAGATGCTCCTGGTGCACCGGGTCGAGTCGCATCCTCAGCGACTGGTAGTCCGTCATGGTTGGTGTGGGTATTACTGGTGTGGATTTTGTGGTGCCACCAACGCTGGCTGGGGGAACAGAGATCGGGGTAGATGGGGAGCAGTTAGTGGATGTTGATTTAGCTAATGGAGTAGTAGTCGGGTGGAGAAGTGGGCTGGCTGGTTCATGTACTTTTCTGTCCAACTGTTGTCTCTCCCCCCGTGTTCCGTGAGTGAGTGGAGTGATAATATGACGAGAGAGTGCGATAAAAAAGAGCAGAGCCAGAGCCAGAAAACGTTTCGTTTCGTTTCAATCTGGTATGGGTGGTTTTTTTTCGGGCTTCAGAGCGCCTTCGCGAACCGTTATACGTGGAAGCCAAAGCGCAACTGAGAGCCAAGCGATCGCCCTCTGTGGTTTTTCTTGTTCAAAGTGGAGCTGCCCCAATGCCTCGGCCTTCCGTCTGTGTCTCGTTGTCTCTCTGTCTTTGTCGCTGTCTTTGAATGGCAGGCGCGCATGTGTCTTGGTTTGTGGAATGTGCGAGTGTTTGTGTCTCTGTTTTGACGTATTTGCAGGCGCGTTATTAACATGGCTATGCCATGGGTAATGGGTAATGATACCCTGTAAAACTATGGGAGTGAGAAATGATGCAATCCCAATCTTTTCGGGATATTCCTTCTCAAAAGTAAATCTTCTAGGGCATTCCACAGCCCATTCTCCGATGGCCTCGTTATGGTTTTTGGGCACTACTACTGCAATCGTCTGGCTGCGGGGCAAAATTTGCACAAACCTCCCTCCCTCCCTCCAGAGTGGTGTTGCAAATGCAAAACCAAACGGCCCTGAACGAACAGTGGCTCAAGTGAAAGTAAGAGGTGCCCCTGGGCGCCAGATACCACCTCGATTGGCAACAAGGAAACACTTAAGGGCAGGCGGGCTGGCCAGTTCCTGATAAACAAGTTCCCACTGGAGGCCTACAGAAACTAGTTGAATGGGTTAGGCCGTAAGTTATTGGAAAGGTTATGGATATGGCATTTAAATAAGCCAAGAATTGACCACAAATTTTATACGAGCCACTCGACGGTGACTCCGATCTGCTCGTTTCGTTGGCCGGTTTGTTTGGTTTTTGTTTTTGCCACGAAGCGAGAGAGCTAGAGTGATCCATGGTATATTCAACACAAGGCGAGGCGGAGCATGTATTAGCCACCGTTCTCTCGGAATGCCTGACCTGTCATGAAATCTACTTTGGACTGCTCAGCAGCTCAGCTGCTGCAGAAATACACACGTAGCCATAAAAAACAGCAAAAACCCCCACATACACAGGCCCCCAAAGCAAAAACAAAAAACGGAAAGAAACGGCGATAGCACACAATTTGGTTTCCGCTGCGGACTCTTATCGCGGACCATAGGCCTTGCCTTTCGTTTTATCATTATCAATATATTCTCCACTTTTTATATACTCACCATTGCGATGGCGCCGCACATTAGTGTGCTGGTGCTGCAGCAAATTGTAATTGTGGCGACCCATTTATGAAGGGAGGCACTTGACACAGAAGAAAACAACACCCTATATTGTGGTGGAGCTTGCACTTGCACTTGCACTGCCCTATGCCAATATCTTGCTATGCCGTTGCTTGCACTGGGTTTCGCTATGCCATAATTTTGTGGGACATGTACTTATCCGCAAATTCACTAATTTAAAACCTAATGTGACACCAGGCCCTCTTTAAATTAACTTAAAAATAAAATTTTTGGAATAACACGACTTGGAGGCCCGAAGCAGTGTGACCCGCGCACTTATTGATTAAATATACGGTCTGACCCTCGGAAATATACCGTCTCATTTCCAAAATATACCGTAAATATACCGATGAAATAAAAACTCAGCCCACTTAGCCCCCCTCTATTTAAACAAGTGAACAAATTGAGTTAAACCGTTTTTAAATTGTTCTTGTAGATCCATACTGCCTCTTTCTTTACAATCAAAGCTTTTACGATATCTTTCACCTGAGCTGGGCTAAAGCTCTCAAAGTTTCATCATTTCGTGGAGTGTTGTTCTATATCCACTGGTCGACAATGGGCTAATCGTACTCCGCCCATGATCGGAAATCATATTTCTTGCTTTTGATCGGTTTAATATTACTACTAATAGTTTAAGCCGGGACCCTCAGGACTATCTTGCAGCACTGCTTTTTTGTAAAACCGAATTATAAAATTAAATGAACTAAATTTTGCTATTGCTAAAATAAGCTAATTTAACTTTCTTGGATTACTCTAATTTATAGAATTATTGAGGCGTTTAAAAACAAAAACTCTAATGGGGTTTTTGGTTTTTTTTTAAATATATTTACAATTATGAACTAAATAAAGCATCATTTTCAATTACATGTAAGAACTACAACAGAAAGTATGCATCTATATATAGGCTCTAGTTATTCTCAAATTTCCTGGAAGGTTTTCTCTCATATTTCACGGTTCTTAGGAGCACGGACCGCTGTGTGCGCAGCAAGCAAGCGTTAATCTAAAGGACTCTACAATTTCACGAACGAGCGGTAATTACAAGAGGGGCGAAGGGAGGTACGTACTTGATGCAGAATCATACAAAACATGGGCGTAAATCATTAATTAGATCATTCTTTTAAATATCAAAAAAATTCATTTATGTTCAAAACGAAACACTGTCTAAGCCGATGATGACGTCGTCGGAACGTCGTCCAAGTTAATTAGCGTGGCTCCACCATCTTGAGGATCCGTTTCAGCCGCCGCACCGGTGCCATCTTTCAGTGGCGGAGCCGGCATTGGTATTGCAATGGTACTCATGGTACTTATCATACGCGGCTCGGCCCGCGACGTTGTGATGGGCATCTGCGCGGAATTGCTGGCGGGCTTGAGGAAGTCGGGCTGCGGTGTCTGAGCCGGCCCAGGGCCATGACTATGACCACCACCACTATGACTATGACTGTGTCCAGCCCCATGGCTGTGACTGTGTCCAGCTCCGTGGCTGTGATGCTTCTGCTGCTGGTGATGCTGATGCTGTTGGTGTTGGTGATGCTGCAGCTGCGGCTGCTGGGGATAGGACTTGGGCAACTGGGAATGCCGCGTGGAATCGGTGGCCTTCAAGCGTTCACTCAAAGCCTTCAAAGCAATTTGTCTGGAAGCGAAACAATATTTAGAACAGTTTGAGTTATCGGCATCGTCGTTTCACTTACCGCCTGCGCTCAATATCATGCGGATCCGCACCGGGCATTTGCACTGAGATCGACGTCAGACTGGCCGTTGATATCGTGCGCAATGGCGTGGGCGTTTTGACCACGCCTGCCCGCAAACAGCAGTTGTAAATGGGATTAACCAAAACGCTGATAAACGGCTGCGAAACGTTCGGAAAGAAGCTAACAAATGTGAAGCTTTCAGAGCTGTCGCCACGCCCATTCGGATGATGCTGATAAAAACGCAAGTAGATCCAGGAGACCAGAGAGCCCGAGGCAAACATGGCCGGATATGTGCCATCCAGTAGACCGATAGCCCATGAAATAATTGCCATTATGAGCACGGTAAGAGGAACGTTCCTTTACGAGATATATAAACAACAAGAGAATCAATCAGCATTCAATCATCATGTGATTACTCACCTATTGGTCAGACGTCCATAGCGGGTCTTGAAGATCAAATGATCGGGCATTATTTGCCTCACGGCCACACAAATTCCAGCCACATACCCGGCCAGGCCATGTATATGCACATCGAATAGAATGGTTGGATTCTTGGTCACCATATAGTAGAATAAATAGTAGATAGTGGTCAGCAGCGAGACGCCGAAATTGCTCAAGGCGAAGAACTTGAACATCTCTAGTTGGCCCCAAAGCGGCTCAAGCATCTTGCCACACAGCCCGACAGTGACGACATCGACGGCCACCTCCCACCAGTGCAGCTCGATGAAGCAGAAAGTGAATGCAGTCCATATCCAGAACTTTCCATTGGGTAATATATATCCCGGTGTGACGCTCAAGAGAAGGATTGCCTGGTCCGAGAAGGAGAGCAGGTAGCCGAACGTCGTCACCACACAGATGAGCGTTATCACCGGCGAGGTGTTATGAAGCAGGGCGTTCAGCTGTTGCCATATATAGGGCCAGTTTCTGGCGAGTGGAGCTGACATGGCAACTCGAACTGTGGCTGAAGAGTCTGATGATTTTTCTGCCTGGAGAACTTCAATTGTTGTCCGATCTGTTGTTATTCAGCCTGCTGCATGCGAGTCCCGATGCTGTGGTGGGTTAAATGCGTATCGGGTTTCGTGTGCGTCGCGATTCAAGACTTTCTTGTGGCCCCCAATTTGCACAAATTTTGTTTTATTTACGATTTTGTTTCACTTTATTTCTCATTTTGTTGCACCAGTGTGACCAGTCGCTAAACTACTCAGAAGACCTCCAGTGCTGACCCTATTTTTTAGCAAAATACGGCTAGATTGAATGAATAGGAAATCCAAAAAAAAGGCTGGAATTATATACAATTAAATGTATGTAAGTGCCAGTAGGATATTCCGACTCCTTAAAACATATAAATTCTTGATCAGCACAACAGCCTTGATATATCCCGCGGCCGACTTCTCTGCTACACGCCATCTCCGTTCAATGTATCCGACCCCTGGCTGTTGGAGGGACAAAAACTTTGACTTTGTAACGTAGATCTGACGGAAAAAAGCTGATTTGGCAACACTGAATACTTCAGCAAGCAGTTAAGTCACACTGATAGGTCGGTAGCTAAGGGCGCGTAGTTTTCCTTTTGAGCTTCATTCAAAAGAATTCGCATTGATTGAAAAAGAGACCTTTTTAATTAAAAAAGTTATCTAATTTACGTTTTATTATGACAATTTGTATGCATGTGTTCGTTTGATGTACATCTTCGTTTTAATAATTTCAATAATCTCCCTCTTGGTTTTAAATATAATGCATTTGATTTAATATTTAAACAATTATTGCATTGACATTCAATCAATTCGCAGAAATATTGAACTCAAGCAACGAAGTCTCACAATTGAATAAAACTAAAAACTATTCAAAATAAAGTTTCTCTCGTTATGTACGCTTCGGGTAGGAAACGCCTTTAAGGTATGCTGATTGTGGGAATTCGGACGTAAAAAAAAACAAAATATGGAATTTAGATTGTTTTTTTTAATGGGCGAGCGAGCGTGTGAGAAATATGATGAAGAATTGGTTGATTGCATTTCGGATTGACTGCTTAGAACAGCAGCGTGCCCATGCCGCCCATTTCAGATTGTTCCTTGACGAAAATCTCAAAGTACTGATAGATGATGGTCACAGCCAGCAGGATACCCGTGCCGGAGCCGATGGCGCCGAGGAAATCGGCCATCACGGACAGTGCACCGATGCAGAGACCGCCGAAGGCAGCCGCCGTCGGGATGTAACGATTAAGCTCGTGGATCATGGAGTTCTCGCGATGGCCGCGCATCACCATGTGCTGCTCCTTCAGCTGCTTGGCAACCTGCAGAGAGCAAAGAAACCACGTTAGTTTTTCCTTGATTACGAGTGCCAATTATCAGGGATACTTACATCCTTCGCTGAGCTGCCGGACACATCGATCCAGGTCTTGGAGAAGAACGCACAGGAGCCCAACATGAAGACAATGTAGAGCAGGGCATGGATGGGGTCAGTGAGTATATGGCCGACGCTCTCAGGCGGCGACAGATAGTAGCACAGACCACCGATGGGGTAGGAGCGGGCTGGGCCGCCGCCTCCAACATCGGCCCACACGCCGAGCAGATTGATGAAGAAGTTGCCGTTGAACTTGACGGCCAACATCTGGGAAATCACGTACAAGTTGGAGACCAGAGCCGACTGCAGAATGATGGGAATGTTGGAGGTGTAGAACAGCTTGATGGGATAGCTGCTGTACTGGCCGCGGTAGCGGGCGCTCTTGATGGGTAGATCCACACGGAAGCCTTGGAAGTAGATGACGACAGCGAACACCAGAATGGTGGCCAGCAGGTTCATTAGGTTGGGCAGGTTCTGGCGGTAGAAGGCCTCGCGCAGAGCACGAACCTTATCGTTCCTGGTTGCCATCAGGTGGAACAGGGCAATCACAGCGCCCTCGAACTCGGTGCCACGTCCCGTCGTCACCGTGGTGGGGGAGAATGCCTTCCACACGATCGTCTCGCAAATGTTAGTGGCAATGAAAAGGGAGATACCGGATCCCAAGCCATAGCCCTTCTGCAGCAGCTCGTCCAGCAGCAGCACAATCAGACCGGCGGCAAACAGTTGGATGATGATGAGCAGGCAAACGCCAGCTCCAATTTCCGCTGGATCACCGTACATGCCAGTCATCACATACACGATGGCCTGGCCAATGGTGATCACCATGCCGAACAGCTTCTGGGCTCCGTTGAACAGGGCGCGATCCTTGGGCGTGTCACCGACCTCAATGATCTTCGCTCCGGCCAGCAGCTGCATGATCAGGCCCGAGGTGACAATGGGCGAGATACCCAGCTCCATGAGGGTACCACGGTTGGAGGCCAGGATAACACGAATCCAGTAGAAGGGATCCGCAGAGTCGGAGCTCATGATGCCGAACAGTGGGATCTGACAGCACACCAGGAAAATGAACAGTGTGATGGCGGTCCATAGTACTTTTTCTCTGAATTGGATCTGGGAAAGCAAACGACGATAATTATTAATTAATTATAAACCCTTTCATTAATTAGCCTTGAACCTAAACTAGGCAAACACTCGTACAATTGCCGCTATGTTGACCTACATGTGCCGCCGGCGTGTGTGTACGTGGGGCAAATGTTTAAACAAAATCAGGTTTACTCATCGGCATCGGCATCGGCATCGGAATCGTCATCGTCGGCTCCCTCCCCCGTCATATGGTTAACAACAAAAACACACGAGGCTGACGTCGACAGTGCTCGGCTGCCAGCTTCGGCGACCCGAAGTTTGACGTTTCCACGTAGCGTTTGTTTTCGCTGTATGCACGAGTGTATGTGTATGGGAAAAAGTACTCTGGCAACAAGTAGCACGCGAAAGTAGTGGCCGTGATAAGAAAAGTAGCAGATTCGATGATGTGGAAATTGGACGATTCATCAATGAAAATGTTTGGCAAAGTCAAAATAATTTAAGCACCTTATTCAACACAAACTCTTTTTCCTAGATAATTAACAAGAATACGTTTTAACCGATTCTGTGGGAGACTAAGACACGTTAAACTCAAGTTAAAGGTGGAATTTGACTTTCTAAAGCATCTCCGAAAACTTGCGAGCTAATTTCAAGCATATTATTTGCCTTTACCCATCTTTTCTGTCATTACTTTATGCAGAAGCAAACTGTTTGCGTGGCGCTTTGCTTACATTTTTTGACAAGTGAAAGCCGAACGCGTGCGCTGGCAACACTGGCAGCCGACCAATTGTTAAACGCACGGCCGCTAAATATAAAACAAATTAAGCTAAAATGAAACAAATCACTTTCATTCCACTCCCCCACATATTCCTAACATTGAACTTAAACTTTAGTTACAACTATATTATACACACCTTGCGCTCGGGCTTTGCAATTTCCGGCAGTATACTGCAGAAGGGTTTAATAACTTCGAGGAATTTGACTGCAAATAATGAATGGAAAGGGCTGTGGTTAGACGCGAAACTCAACTTTCAATTCAATTGGTGGCTTGCAGAGCACACAAATCACACAATAAGAAGTGCACACCGACATTTTTTGTATACGTAAGCAAAGAGCAACGGGGGGGTGCGGTGCTCGATCCCCTCGAAGCGGCACTTTACTTTTACAAAAATCGCACTCTTCTCAAATATGCAGTAGTTATAAACGATCTACTTACTTCCCATTGTGTTCTACTTGTCTTAGCGCGGTGTCTGGAAAACTGACACTGTTGCACTTTCTATACAAAATTTAGAAAGTTTATTTAGCTGCAAAACAAACGCACGAGTGGAAAAACGAAAACCGAATGGGGGCTACGAATAAATTTTTGACACGACGACGAAATTACTGACACGACGTGCAATAGAGGTGTCAAACCAGCGATGGCACTATCGATAGTATCGATGGTTTTGCTACTATTCATGATACTATCGAGCTTGTAGCTTTTGTCTATTGTATATATATATGGTAGCTGACATCGTTAACAATGTTATAGGCTCTGCACACTGAGGCCATCCCGGGGGAATGGTGGGATTTTTTGACAAATGTGAAACTCCGATTCACACTGCCACCATCCACCATCCACCATCCATCAAAAACAGCTGATGCCAATAACAAGTTCATTAAATTTGCGCGGAAGATTTATTAATTCTTGGTTATTATAATGGATGATGAAGATATAGCAATTATTTCGGCTGTGGTTGCACATCGACTGAATCAGAGCGCATGTTTTCCAAAGCTGGGCAGGTCATTTCGGAGCGCAGGTCCGCTATCAAGCTAAAAGTCGTTGACAAACTTTTGTTTTTAAAGAACAACTGGTTGATTACCAATGAACCTGATTTTAGCAAATAAACGGTTTATAATAAGCGAATTATCTCTATAGACTAAGATTAATGTTTGAAACATTTATTGAACTATTATTGAACTTATCTTGGAAAATAAACGTCATGAATTTATATTTTCAGACTGATTTATGAAACATTTCTTAGTTTTTGAGTTTTGAAAAGGAATAATATGAATAAAACGTTTAATTTTGAACAATTTTTTTTTTAATTTCGCTTGAAAAATAGCCGTTAAAAGACTTTTTCAATATTAATATATGACCCCGATATTCGATAGTATTCGATTTTTAAAATCATTCCATTCAAAACTATCGAGTGGCGACACTATCGATGGTTTGACAGCTCTATACCAATATACCATCTCATTTAAAGAATCTACCGTAAATATTCCTCGTTTTTGATATTCCATTGAATATTACCAGCTATATAGAATATTTAGCCACGCCCACATAATTTTATCCGATTAATTAAACTATTCTCAACTTGACTGGCATATTTTAAATACTTGCTTTTATTGGATTTTGCGTAAAAAGAGGTTTTAGCGAAATAAGTCAAACAAAAAACAAGTAGCGAAATAGGTCAATCAAAACAAACGAAAAAGGAAATTCGTTCATATTGCTCAATTTTGATATTCCATTGCATAATGCTGACTAACTAAATCTCTCAGCAATGCCCACATAGTTTTATTCCATTGATGAATCAATTTTCTACAAGATTGGTTAGTTTTTATTCCTTGCTTTTTTTGTATTTATTGCAAAAAAAGGTTTAAACGAAAAAGTTCAACAAAAAAGAGTCGCTATATTGCGTGTATGCCGTATATAGGCCTTTGTATACCCTATTTTGTTAATTTTATATGAAAGTATACATATTGATATGAAGATAAAACGTAACTAATAAAGACCTTTTCTCAAATTGACATTTCTTAGACATATTCATGTATATGATGAGTGTTTTGTATATATATCTCGATCCTGATACCTATTCATGGTCCCTACAAGAAGACAATAAGCTTTAAAATATCGTTGAAATTATGAAAATAATATTAAATAATATTGAATTATATTAAAATATATTGAAAATAAATTTTTTTTTCCTGGAATGACAAACATATTCACACTTCTATAAAATCTATTTCAGGGTATATGTGCATGGAATGGGACTCATTGTTGTGAACCGGTTATGACGACTATTTCTTGGTTAATCTTTCTTCCGTCGAATATTCCCAGCTATATAGATCTCTTATTTTTGCCCAGATAATTTTATATGATTGCTGAATCAATTTTGATCAAGATTAACTACTTTTAAGTACTCGAAAATCTTTTATTTTGACAAAAACACGATTTTAACAAAATGTTCAGTCGTAGGTTGTGACGTCAATGTTGCTGGTATTTGCAGACTCATTTCTTGTCAACCAGAGTGTGGCCATTTGTATACCCTATTTCGTGAATATTGTATAAAGATACTGTTTTCCAACCTGCTTTCAAATGTAATTAGTAAAGGCCTTGTTTTAGATTGCATTTTTTTGGTCTATTCATGCATTCGATTAGGTGTTTGTAAATAAATCCTGATCCCTATACCAATTCTTGGTCTCTGTAGACAGACGATGAGCTGCAAAATATCGTTTAAAACAGAGACTGTATAGTTTCTGCATTAATTAGAGCCTGGAATGACACACATTTCCGCAATTCTATATCATCCATTTCCCCCAGGGTATGTGTGCATGGAATTAGCAACATGTTTGTGTATGGAATGAGACTCATTGTTGCAATAGCTAAACTGCGGCGAATCGGGTATTGCCTATATCAAGCTATATAGATGCCCACTTAGCTCTATCCCATAGATAAATGTATTTTCTACAAGATTGCTTCTTTTAATTCCCTTTACGTAATTTATTTTGACTAAAATACGGTTTTCAAATAAATGTTGCCGCAACAGTGTGTATGGAATGTGCAACATTGTGTATGGAACGAGACTCATTGTTGCTAAAGCGAAATTGCGGCGAACTGCGGCGAAATGCGGCGAAATCAAATTTGATTCAAAAAACGACCAATTCTTTGTTCCGTTGAATAATACTATCTATATAGAACACTTAGTCATGCCCACTCAATTTTGTACGATTGATGAATCAATTCTATACATGATTGGCCTATTCGAAATACTTGCTTTTATTGGATTTTTATATAACATTAAAAATTAAATTAATAGATGACAAAAATACCATTTAGCACTAAAAAACACCACATGGGAGGGCGGCGAAAACCAGTTTCTACAGTATATACGGTCTCACTTGAAAAATATACCGAGTGGTGCGCGCCAAATCTAACTTTTTTGAATGTGAGCGACAAGGATTTAAATGTTGTCAACCGGGCCTTTATCTATGCCCACATAATTTTGTACGATTGATGAATCAATTCTATACCGGACTGGCCTATTCGAAATACTTGCTTTTATTGGATTTCTATATAACATTGAAAATGAAATTAATAGATTGATGAAGTTTTGACACGACGACTAAAATTTTACTGACGCGCAGTGTTGCCATATTTTGAGCGTCAAAATAAGCTAGATTTCACGAAAACACAAGCTAGAACAAGCTAAAAATTGTAAAAAACAGGCCAAAAAATAGGCTAAAAATAAAAAAAAACACATAGATGTACACATTTCTAATTGTGTTAATATTTTATCCAACTCGCTATTACTCGAATCGGTATATTTATCGAAGGAACGTAGTAAATTTAAATATTTCTCCGATAATTGTTAGTTGTGGCAACATTGTATTCTGATGAATGAAATATTACTAAAACAAACCTTATATTTAATATTGAGTTTAAGGATTTAACAGTCACTTTGTTCCTAAGCTTGGTCTTAACGATATTTATTTGACTGATTACACGTTCAATGGCAGCATTTGACCACGGTAGACTAAAATTTCAATGGCAAATAAAGCGATTTCTTCCAGAGGTTTGTATTTGCCAGCATCTTTATAAGTCAGTACTTCTGACCAAAGCTTTATAGTGTCATCTGTACTTTGCCAAGGGACTAAGTTAATTTTGCCATATTGGGCAAGAATTCCATCTATATTGCTATAGTTGAAGTGTTCCAATATGGAAATGAGATCATTAGGATTTGTATTATGTTCGAGTACATTTTCTGCTGCAAAAACGTGCAGTTTTTCCAATGTCTCCAAATTATCTGGAAGTCTGAAATTAAACAGAAGATTATTATTTATTTTTAATATCAAATCCTATTGAAGCTTACCTTTCTCTGAGTTGGATAATAAGCTCCTTTATAAGATCCTTGCACCTCAATTTTACACAATTACACATTTCACACGATCGCCAATTTTTCAAGCTTTTCCGTTTTCAAATAAGCTAGATTTAGCCTTAAATAGAATAAAATGGCAACACTGCTGACACGCAGTGCAAATATACCAAAATATACCGAATCATTTCAAAATATACCGTAAATATACTGACGAATTCAAGTTCTTACGTATTCCTCGTTTTTCATATTCCGTCGAATATTACAAGCTAAATAGAACATTTAGCCCTGCCCACATAATTTTAGCCCATTGATGAATACATTTTCTACACAATTGGTTAGTTTTTAGTCCTTGCTTTTATTGTATTTTGACTAAAACAAGGTTTAAACAAAATAGTTCAACAAAAAATCAGTTGCAATGTTGCTGGTATTTAAAGACATGATGCGTGTATAGGCCTTTGTGCACCCTATGTCGTAAATTTTATATGTAGATCAAACGCAATTTATTAAGATCTTTTCTCAAATTGATATTTTTTGACTTATTCATGTGTATTATTAGTATCTTGTATATATTTATCTCGATCCTGATACCTACTGAGCCTTGGAAGACAAACATTTCCTCAATTCTATAACATCCATTTACCCCAGGGTATGTGTGCATGGAATTAGCAACATGTTTGTGTATGGAATGAGACTCATTGTTGCAATAGCGAAACTGCGGCGAATCGGGTATCGCCTATATCAAGCTATATAGATGCCCACTTAGCTCTATCCCATAGATAAATGTATTTTCTACAAGATTGCTTCTTTTAATTCCCTTTACGTAATTTATTTTGACTAAAATACGGTTTTCAAATAAATGTTGCCGCAACAGTGTGTATGGAATGTGCAACATTGTGTATGGAACGAGACTCATTGTTGCTAAAGCGAAACTGCGGCGAACTGCGGCGAAGTGCGGCGAACTGCGGCGAATTCAAATTCGATTCAAAAAAACGACCAATTCCTCATTATCTTTGTTCCGTTGAATAATACTATCTATATGGAACATTTAGTCATGCCCACTCAATTTTGTACGATTGATGAATCAATTCTATACATGATTAGCCTATTCGAAATACTTGCATATATTGGATTTCTATATAACATTGAAAATTAAATTAATATTAAATGTCAGCGATGTTTTTTGAACTATAGGTGGAGAACTATCGATTGCACTGTCGATGTTTTTCGAAAACCTATCGTATACTATCGATGGTTCCCACTATCGACAGCAGCGTGACCGCGGACTTATCGTTAAAATATATCGTCCCACAGAAATATTTCAAAATATACCATCTCATTTAAAAAACTACGGTAAATAAACTGACGAATTCAAGTTCTATTTTACTTATTCCTCGTTTTTCATATTCCGTCGAATAGTACAAGCTATATAGAATATTTAGCCATGCCCACATAATTTAATACGATTAATGAATCAATTTTCTACTTAACTGGCCAGTTTTTAGTCCTTGCTTTTATTGTACAAGGTTTAGGCAAAATAGTTCAACAAAAAACAGTTGCAATGTCGCTGGAATTTGAAGACATAACGCTTGTATAGGCCTTTGTACACCCTTTTTTGATAATTTCATATGAAGATGAAACGTAACTTATAAGGACCTTTTCTCAAATTGATAGTCTTTAGACATATTCAAGTACATTATTAGTATCTTGTGTATATTTATCTTGATCCTGATACCTACGGAGCCTGGGATGACAAACATATTCACAATTCTATAACATCCATTTCCCCCAGGATATGTGTGCATGGAATGGGACTCATTGTTGTCAACCGGTTATGACGACTATTTCTTGGTTAATCTTTCTTCCGTCGAATATTCCCAGCTATATAGATCTCTTATTTTTGCCCAGATAATTTTATATGATTGCTGAATCAATTTTGATCAAGATGAACTACTTTTAAGTACTTGCATGTTTATTCTCTGATCAGAACATAATCCTTAACAAGGATTTCAGGTGCAGAAAATATTATGTATCAACTAATAACTAATGTAAATCTAATAACAGTACGCGGATGACAGTTACAAAAGCATCAACAAAATAATTACAAAAATAATAATATTTTTCTTTCAGAATTTACTAGACTACCTATTAAATTATCTTTAAATAATATACAATTTTATATGATCTTTGGTCTTATCATCATTTGAGAAAATGTAAGCGAGATCGGGTACTTATGCCAAAATAAGCCAATGAATGCCTTGAGAGTGGAACTGAATTTAAGAATTATCCCTACCGCTACGGTGTGATCTCATTATATTCATTATTGAATTTTCATCTTTGACCCGTGCAATCCATAAAAAATCCACGGGAACTTGTTGAGATTGCAAACAAAATCCGTAAACCATTCTGTCCTTCTACTCTTATTATTGGTAATAAAATCCAGAAACAAATAATATGATAAAGCCACAGAAAAGTTCTTAAAATCATACGTCTTTTTTAGAATTAATTTTAAAGTTAATATGTAGAACACATGTCCGCTCGTGCGAATTTTTAAATCCACAGACATCGATCCATGAGCTATATCGATCGATAAACTATTAAATTGTACAAATTATGAAATTTGTGTTTTTTCCCCCAAATTTATTACGTTTTTCTCTGCCCACCTCCCTCTCCAATTAATTGTTTTAGTGTTGATATTTTTAGTGTTGCGTTTTCCGATAATTGTGTTATTTTATTGTTGCTATATTGCTATGTTGTAATATTAAGTGGGAAAAGTAAACTGTTTTTATTAGCCCTCATCTATGTTCCGTAACCGGTTTTTCAATTCGGTCCAAGATACCTTCTATTCCATTTAATTAACATCTTACAAAGTACATGACATGACATGACATTCGACACGTTTAAACATCGCGCTTACTTTTCTACTTGATTCTTACATTTAGAATATTCGATATAAAAATAGACGAATATCGAATATAATATCGCCATGAGACTCAAAAATGATACGGCAACGCCGCAAATGTCAGAGCTATCCAAGCTCTCCACACTCTCCAAAAAAACAAATGCAAAGCAACAATACAAACACACGCACAGGCAATTTAAGCAGGCGTAATATATATGGATCGTCATATAATAGAGAGCGTTCAGTCGACACAGACACAGCATACACATATGCGTGAAAAACTAGCTGGCAACAACGATAGTATGTCAAGTAAAACTATCAAAACGCTGAGAAGAGATATTATAAATTGAGTGCAAGTATTTAACGCAAAACCATGGCTGCGTCGCTTATCTGTGTGGATATAAGCTCGGAATCGGAGGAAGAGGTAAAGCTATAAACGGTCGATTTTGTGTGTTGAAAAGTACAGTTGTATTTTAAATAGGGTTTGTGCGTAAGTGTGTGTGTGTGTATTACAATGTATGTGAAATAAATTTTTTTCGCGCTGCTTTTATTGAGAGCGAAACACACATACCAGTGCAAATGTGCAGAGTGCTGCCAGACCAGAGGTGTAGAGTTTTGATGTCTTGCAATTGCAATGGGTCCAATAATGTTAATTACGTTAGCTAAAACCAGTTGATTGTGTGCGTGCATTGTTTCTCTCTCTCTCCCCCGGAGTAGCTTTATTTAAGGCGTAATTTATGAGGAGAACCCTCGAATCCGCGAAGCAGTTTCGAAATTCAAAGAATTGCACATTACGCGCGCTCTCTCACTCTACACAACTCATACAGTCACCCACCCACACGCACACATGTGAAAGCATGCTCAACACTGCATCCGGCGCCAGTTTTCTGCGGGTTTGTTTTCATTCAAAATTTAAAAACTCCCAGCCAACAGGTAGCCTAATTCTTAGGAAAGGTCTTTTTTGGATCCATCTAATTCAACCATTTAACACTTGCAGTCACCCCCTGGTGCCAAGCGACGACGCCTGGAGAAGCCCCGGAATGGGACAGCAAAACAGAACCTGCCGCAAAAGCTTGCGAACCTACCGAAAGCGTCCGTGTCAGGAGGCGGAGGAGTGGGCGGCAAACTGGGATCACTGGGCGGAGCAACATCAGTAGAAACAGCATCCACTCCGCCCGAATTGCACCCTCTCAAACCTATGCACATACCCAGTGGCATAACAATCACAAAGCACGGCAAAAACGCCACCGCCAGCAGCAATGGGATGGTGATCACTTCGATTGCCTCCATGCATGAATTTAACAACAACAGCAATATCTTTAACAACAATAATAAGAATAAGCCACAGAAAACGCCAATGGCTCAGAAAGCTGGCTGGCCGCCGAACAGCAAGCCCCTCGGACAGAGCATTATGATAACCAGTGTGCCGCCCAATCACCAGGTGAAGCCGGCAACGACCACTCTGCCGGTGAAGATTGCGCCTGGTCAGCAGGTGAAGCTGACGCCCGCCCAACAAGTTAAGCTGTCGCCCATTCAGCAGGTGAAGCCAACACCTACGTCTACGCCTTCGCCTAACCTCCAGGCGAAGCCAGCGCTCGGTTACCAGCCGAAGCCGACGCCCAATTTCCAGGTGCAGCAGACTTCCATTTATCGCATGAAGGGGACACCTCTTCCCGGCTACCAGATGATGGCGTTGCCGATAAACCAGGCTAGGATGACGCCCACAAACCAGTTGAAACCGATGCCCAGTAATCAGATAACAGTTTCAGCAGTGGCCCCCAAGCCAATAGTTCCCAAGGCCGTTGCCCCCAATCCAGTAGCGCCCAAGCCGGTGGCCGGCCTTAAGACAGTAGTCCCCAAGCCAGTGGTCCCCCAACAGCACTTGGTAACGTCCCAAAAGCAGCAGCCACTGGCGGCTGGGCCTCCAAAAAATCAGCTCAATGCCACGACCGGCCTCCAAGAGAAAACCACGGTCAGGCTGAGCATTCCGCAGCAAAAGATGACGTTGGGACAAATGCATCAACATCTGCAGCAACAAAAGAAGCAGCTCATGGCTCAGCAACTTCAGGAGGCTGTCCTGAGCGGTCCGCAGTATCAGACACAGCGGGTGTCCATGGTTCAGCAGCAGCAGAAACCACAGCCGGCGTCTCCGCCGGCTCAGAAACCGCAGGTGACACAGAAACCACTGCCCACACTGCAGAAGGCGCCGGCGAAAGCAGGAACGCTTCAGATGCAGCAAAAGCAACAGCCGCAGCAGATGCAGCGGGCGCCACCACCTGCTCATCTCGTCCAGAAGCAGACACCGCCGCCACTGCAGATGATTTCATCGCCTCCCCCGCCAGCCCACAGTCCTGCGGCCAAGATCAATCCACCAGCAGGCCGAGCTTCATCCGCTCTACAAATTACACCCGTTCCCCGTGTTCATCCGGGCCTCACAATGAAGCAAGTACCCAACCCGGCCTCCAGTGCCGCTCGCACGTTGCCATATAAGAGCTCCGGTAGCAAGTCAGGCACGCCTCCGATGACTTCCCAACTGCAGTCGTTTACGGCCAGTTCTGCGCCACCGCAACGGCTGCTGGCCACACCACCGCACTGTCCAGCGTCGCTCAACGAGCCGCTGCTGGTGAATCTTCCGCCCACCACAAGCATTACGCCCCAGCTAACACCCACAACCACACCGCCGCCGGCAGCGACAGCAATGCAGCACCAGCAGCTCCCCAAGGGGTCTGCCTTTAAGCTGAACTCCCTGCCAGGCGCGAGCATCTCGCCAGTGCCCGCTAAGCCGGCTAACAACATCAAGCGAATCCAGCCGATCACTGTGCTCAAGAAATCCGACGAGGACTGGCGCCGGCATCTGGCCCAGCAACAACTGCAGAACCAACAGCAACTCCAGATGCAGCAAAGGCAACGCGACCAGCGGCCGGCGACTCCAACCATTGTTCTGGTGGAGTCACCGCCCACCACGCCGCCCACAGAGAAACAGGAGATGGAAACCAGAACGAATCACACGGAGAAAGCGCTGATACAGACAATGACGGCGGTGCAGAAAAAACCGATTTGGATTAAGCCAGCGGTCTCCAGACTCAATTCTCCAACAGTCACACCAACACCACCAAATCAGGTGAAAAAGGCTACTCCACCCGCGGAAATAGTCGTCGACCTGGACGATCTGCCTGAGACGGCATCCACTAAGCAGCCATCCGAGAAGCAGCCATCGGAGAAGAAGCCAACACCACCGCGAGAGAAACCTGCCTCAAAACCTGCAGAACGTGATCCATTTGTTCCGGAATACGCGGCACTTCTTAAACTCTGCGCAGAAACGGATACATCAAAGGAAATGACGAAACTCATTGAAACAAAGCTAACAAAATATTATTACAGTGTACACGAGAGTTTTGTAAGGTCGCGCGGGTTTCGGAAACTACTAGAATCGGCCATAGAAAGGATCAAAGCCGAGTCGGATCTGGTCTATATGCACCTCAGCGGTGTGGTGGATGAGCTGAAGGCAAGACGCAAGGCGAAGGTGGTGACTACATCAGAGCCAGAGCCAGAGGAGGCTCCAGTCAAGGAAGTCCCTCCAATCAACCCGTCCACACGCGCTACGCTCGAGGCAGGAAAAGAGTCAAAGCAGGAACGCGAGCAGCAGCATGAACAGAAGCCCAATGATGCTGGCCAAGAGTCTGTAGCCCCTGCCATCGACAAACGCACCGATGAACGCATCAGGAGAATGAACATCGCACTGCATAGGATAAACAAGAGAATCCAGGCGCTGGAGAACTCTGAAGTAGACTGGGATGATGATGACAACTCCAGCTATTTGACGGTGGAGCGCTACAAGAAGCGCGCCTGCGAAATCTATGAGAAAATCTGTGATCTAACCGGCGAGAGCAAGAGTGCCTTTCGCCAGCTGAAGCAACCGATCCGATTCGAGGATAGTCCCTACCCCCAGTTCAATCGTATGCTATCATCCTTTGTAAATCGAATGCAGGAGTTCCCCGACTACCACGACGTCCTGCAGCTGCTCGAGCACTGCAACAAAATGAATGAAATGGGCCTGGCCACCTTCGAGATGAAGCTAATAGGTAAGACCGCAGACCGCCTCAAGCTACGAAAAGTCTGAATCTCTATCTCCCTTCGCTCGTTTCCAGCCAGCGATGCCTTCCTTTCGGTGGGGCGACTGCTGCAGTCTAAACGCAAAAGGGATCTGTACGAAACCGCTAACCACTTTACGGGCAGTGTCAAGGATCCGGCTGCCACGGACCCGGAGCTGATGGCCAAGCTAAAGGAGAACACCAAGAAGCATACCAAAATTAGTGATGTACTGGCAAAGTGAGCAATTCGAGTAATATTTTCCTTCTACTTTCGTTGCTAATTCGGAGAGATATTCCCCTTTTTTAGATATTCCCGGGAGCAGGATCTCAATGCGGACAACATGCGCGAGGCTCGTCTCAAAAAGCAAAAGGAAGCGGCAGCTGCTGCAGCTGTGATAGAGGAAGACGATGACAAGCCTTGTACCAGTGCTCAGGCAGCAGCCAAGGCCGCCTTGCTCAATGGTTCTTTAGAAGGCCCCCCCGATGCTGCTGCTGCTACTGCTGCCAGCGATGATAAGGATGAGGCTGATAACGATGATGAAGAGGAGGACTCCGAATCGGAAGAGGAGGAGGAAGAGGATCTTGATGATTTTGTGGAAAAATTCAAGACAAATGGCGACATAAGCGATGCCGATTCGGAGATTGAAGCGGAAACATTGACTGAAACAGCAACTGAGACAACACCAAAGACAGATGCGCCGGTGGGTTCGAAGGATGTGATAGATATAACGAGAGATGAGACTGCCGACAGCGATGTGAAGGCAAACCCCAAGTCCAATTCAAAGCCCAATGATGTCCCGCCCAATGGCATACTGAAAATTATATCCGTTTCTAGTTTGAATGCCAGCGTCATCAACGAGAAGGCAAAGGCACAGAAAAGCAAACAAAGTTCGAATGCGTTACCGAAACGCGTTATTGCCGCTGAGATTATCATTTCCGACGAAGAGTCATAGTCTCGTTGCGGACGCGCATCTGCAGGACAGCCACAGCCGCCTGCCACCTAAATTTTGTTTATTATAAGTAATTTATTCGTTTTAACAACCCCAATATTAGTTGATTATTTTCTAATTCTTTTCCACTCTTACCCAGAATGGCATTGTATTATAAATTATATTGTATATTCTGCCCAGCCCCCCTGGTACACCCTCACTTTCCCGAGGTGTATGGTGTTTTTGTAACCCGCAGCAACACAAAATACCCAACAAATTGTACATATTTACGAGAGCATACTATTAAGTTAAGATTGTTTTACAAAAACACTAAGAAACAATAATTGAGAATATTTCACTTTGGAGTCGTTCAAATCTGTTTAAAGTTTAAGGATCTCCTGCAGATTCTTGGCTATAATCGAGTCATCGATGGCCGTTTCCTCGATAATATCAAAGTGATCGTATCCCTGTATCACCTTGAAACTTGTGGGAAAGCCAGCCTTCTCCAAAACCTGCCCAAAGACGCGACTTTGTTCAATGAATGTCAAGCTTTCGTGCTCTGCGGCCATCACATGGAATTTTATGGAACTCCAAGACTTGGCATCCGGATATTTCCACAAAATGGGCGACAGTGCCGCGGCCTTTTCGGCGTTAAGGCCTAGAATATTATTGGGATTCACATTTTCCAAGGACCACAGCTCGCGTAAATCATAGACACCACATATGAAGATCAACGAGCGGATATTCTTGCGCCTCTCGGGGGTTACTACTTCGGGTGCGTTTAGAATCTGTGCCAGCATATGTCCGCCCGCCGAATGCCCAGCAAAATGTATCTCTGTGGTCTTTATTTTCTCGGCATATGCGAAAGTCCAGTTTAGGAAATTGGTAAACTCCAGCATCAGCTGTTCCAGGGTCACCTGTGGGCACAGATTGTAGTCCATGACAGCCACGCGGTAGCCACGACGCACCAACGGACCGACCATGGAGCATGACTCCGTTATGTCCAGGAATTGCCAGTAGCCCCCGTGAACATACACAAAGAGGGGAGAGGAATCAGTGGTGGAATCGTTGTAAAAGACGTCCACGATTTGACGATCGTCTTGGCCGCCATATCGTAAATGGTCCACTTTAATTCCCTGCTTGGTAGTTAGATCTTTACCCTCTGGAATGGTATCAGCATCTTTGAATAATAGGATCATCATTTAAATCTTAATTAATTTCTAGATTGCTTACGTTGCTTTGTTAGCTGTAAGAAATGGAGTTGCACGGCAAGATTGGGTGCGGGCTGGTCCTGGAACCGTATGGTGTGATAACTGGGAAAGTAATCGCGCTCCAGGTCAGTGCTTTTGGGATTATACATAGTGATAAGAATATCTCTCTTCTCGGTTCGAGGTCAAATGATAACTGAAAAAGTACAGGAAATTTGTGTCACAAATTGTCGATCCAAATTGAGTGTTATAATGCAGATTGCTTAAGTACTGAGCAGTTTTCAGATATGAGTTGTTTTTAGAACAAGTCTAACCGGCTTTGAACTTTAAACTTTTTTATGCCAAACTGATCCCACTGGAAAGTATTTTACAGCCTTGGATCTGAGAAGATTTGGCGTCCCTGCAAAACACCGATACTATCGATGTTGTATCGCTTTTCTCTGAATATCGAAGAAATCGATCTAAACAAAAACTTTTTTTTTTTGTTTTGAGATGTATTCTTTTTATTTCTCATGAAAATTCTGTTTTAATATTTAAATCTTCATTACTTTAATTTTCGTTTTCCTCTTTGTCGTTTGAATTTCGTTCGGTTTTCAGTTTTCCCATTTCCTACTGTCAAACAGCTTCGAAAACTGATGGCTTATAGAAAAAGTGCGAGTTGAATAGCACTTAGATTTGTTTTTTCTCGAACAGTGCCATGGAATCCATGATTTTTTTTGCACGGTTTCAATGGTTTTTCAAAATGGATTGAATGATACGAGAAAGTCGGCTAGAAGTCAGTCAAATGAAGTATTTTTACATGGAAATTATAATTGATTAATTTTATTAATCTATAAATAACGTGGTATAAATTCATTTTAATTTTTTGATTATTTTCTGATTAGTAGGCTTAAACATCTAGAAAAAGGAAACATCATACCTTAGTTATTTATTTGCCTTATTTATCCAGTTTCCGCGTCTTCGAAATCAGACCGAAAAACTGTGGATATTTCATTTATCATATCACTAGCTAGCAAACTTCGACCAAACTTTTTAAATGCAGTAGAATTGGCTCTCTTCACGAGATAGCTTGAAGCACAAGCTGCTATATACGCGGGATTGGGCTGATTGGATTGCAGTGACCAGTAAAAAAACGTTGCTAGAGATCCGCTAAGTAAGTCCCCCTGACCTCCACATCTGCGACCAGAACCGCCCGTGGGCATGGAGTAAACTTCGTTGGTGTGAGGAATATGAATCTTATCATTTACGCCCTTTTCCAGGACCACAACACCATCTCCCAGAAAGGACATTTTTTGACGCACAGAATTCACGTCCTCTCCAAACAATCTACGAAATTCCATAGCGTTTGGGGTCAGTATGATATTCCGTTGTCCGCTCACCAGGTCAATATTATCATTCAGAATAAACAGCCCATCAGCGTCTATTACAATTGGCTTCTGTAACTTTGTGCACAATTTCAGCACATTTGTTACAGTCTGCAAAATAAGTGGTTCCCGACCCAATCCAGGGCCAATAACCTTTAAAGCACAAACATGAGAATATCAATTGATTAAATTGAAACAAAATTCAAGGATTTACTCACAATCACGTGTAAACGCTCTAACCAAGGCTGAATTTTATCAACAGCATCCAAGCAGTCCAATACTGGATGAACAATCAAGTCGGGGCTGTAAGATTTAATAACTGGGGCCGCGTTTGCTTGACAGAAGACATGCGATAGGTCAGCACCAACTTTCATGGAACTTATAGCCGCAAAGAAAGGGGCCCCGGTATATTCCAATGAGCCTCCGATAACGCCAATTCGCCCATATTGTCCTTTATATTTGTCGTTTGTCAGTTTCGGCACAATTGTCTTGAACAAAGTAAGCAATTTTGGCAAATTTACAGGGATCTCTTTAATTGCTGACATTGTTTTGACTTTCTTCGTATACTATTTATAAATGGGTATCGATAACACAAAACATTATTAAATCGGTACTAATCATTTTGCAATCAGCTTAATCACTAACCATACAGATGGATGTGTCATAGGAACGAACACTTTTCTAAACATTGTTGTTGTGAATCGTATCATATGCTGGATTATGTTTAAATTTAAATCCGATTCCCAAAAATAGAATCGATGTTTTCACAAAGAATGACATCGATGTTTATGCATCTCTATTTCCCACCTCTAAAAGCCAACTCAGAGGTTTACGTTTTTAATTTTCTGTCAAATATATCCAGGAAAATCTCATCAACATGAGCAGGGGCCAGCAAAACGAAGAGGATACCAATGCGGTGCTGTTCGATGCCCGAAACGAGTACTACATTGGCAACTTTATGGGCTCCATCAACTTTGTACTGCCCGAGCAGGGAACGGCTGGAGCGGAGCTGCTATCCTACATGTACCTGTCGTACCTGGCCATTGACTCGGGCCGCATCATTGCCTCGGACATCAAGGAGGGAAGCTCGACGCCGCTGCAGGCCTTGCGTCTGGTCCACGAGGCCTTCGAGCAGCCGTCCCGGTGCGAGGAAGTGCTGGAGAAGCTAACCGACAAGGTGGCCGGCGATGAGGATGAGACCAATCTCTGGCACATTGCCACCGCCATTGTGTACTGCTACGACGGGCAGTTCGAAAACGCCCTGAAAATCCTGCATGGCTCCACTAATCTCGAGTCGATGGCTCTCTCTGTGCAATGCCTGCTGCGCCTCCATCGTGTCGATCTGGCCAAGCAGCTGGTGGCCAAAATGCAGGAGATCAGCGATGATGCCACCCTAACACAGCTTGCTCAGGCCTGGGTGGCCCTAGCGCAGGGTACGGAGCAGATGCAAGACGCCTTCCACATCTACCAGGAGTTCTGCGAGAAGTTCAAGCCCACGCCGGCATTGCTCAATGGCCAGGCGGTGGTCCACTTGGGCCTGGAGCGCTACGAGGAAGCCGACGCTGCTCTGCGCGAGTCACTGATAAAGAAGCACAACGACTACGACACTCTGATTAATCTCATGGTTTTGTCGCATCTGACGGGCAAGCCCTCGGAAAACATAACGCGGTATCTGGAGCAGCTGCGTCAATTTTACCCAAAGAGCGACTTCATCACGGACCTGGACAAGAAGTCAACAGAGTTCGATCGCCTCTGTCTGCAGTATGATCTAGGTGCCGAGGAGAAACTCTTGGCCGTCTAATAATTCCAAGTTTATATCAAAACTTTCTATGTGTATTCATTAAATTACAATAAAAATTGATTAGAAATGTGTAAGAGGTATCCAGTAGGTGCAAATTAGTAGCTGCAAAGGGAAAGAGATGTTATTAAAATCACAAAGATTGGAATTCTTTTGGGATAATTACTTTTGTTTGAAGCCATATTTCTTTCGCTCGTAGAACAAATCAGTCTTGGAGCTGCCCAGATTGACGATTTTGGGGCAGCCATCGCGCTGGAAAGAACACACCACACAATTAATAAAATCCCCTTCCAATCCATGAATTGCAGGTGCTACTCACATCCTTCTCCTGCATGGTGCAAGACTTGCAGTAGTATGCATCGGACACTCCAGGTCCTCCGCAGATAACACATCTTCCCTGATAGGATCCGTAGTTACACTCATCGCAGATCCGCACCAGGGTGCAGGGACGCACGTAGGAATCGCAAATCACGCATTTTCCATCATCCTTCTCGCAGAGGCGTCCAATGGCTGCCGCGCGTGGTAGATGAAACATTACAATTGCACAGGAAATGGCTATAAATCTGAAAGGTCTTACCCACGCCAGGTTGTTTGCGGCAAAAAATCAAATCGGGATGATGCTTGGCCATGTTTTATTTACGTTTCTTTTAAAAATTCGATTAAAAACAATTTTAGCGAAAAAACTAGCGGCGTTGCAGTGTGACCGTTTCGATTTTCTTCTTTTTGTCATTCTATCGGATGTTGGGTGCTAGAGGTGGAAAAACATCGATGTTTGTTGTTTTCGATGCAATTTATTTTCTGTATTCGCTTTGTTAAATAAAAAGTGCAAAAAACAACTTTAATATAACAGATGTAACCGAAACACACCAAGAATCCTAGAAAATGTCACAGGCAGCGTCTACCACGCAGAGTGCAGCTGCTGCACCGGTGGGTGGCGGCAGTCGACGGCTGCCCAGCGATGGCGTGGGCGGCGTTGGCGTCATGGGGAATACCATGTCAGCGAGATTCGGTGAGACCGAATGGGAGGCCCGAGAGGTGAGTACAGCCCAACGACAACAAGTTTTCCATATTAATGATTTCCCTTCCCTACGGAAAAAGTCGCAACGCCAACGCGAACTGCATGAGGCGCGTGCCAGGGCGGCGCAGATGGAGAAGACCATGAAGTGGTGGTAAGTGGAGAGCCAGAGAGCTACTTGCCGACCGTCTGTTAATCACTAAACTCTTTTTGCAGGTCTGATTGCACTGCCAACTGGCGCGAGAAATGGAGTAAGGTAATGGTTGCCATGGCGGCTGTTGAATCAATAAGCTGCACGGATTTGTTTGATAACAAAAAACAACTCTTTCGCAGGTACGCAACGAGCGGAACAAGGCCCGGGAAGAATCCAAACAGTTAAGCGTTAAACTGGACGTCGCAATGAAGGAGGCACATTCACTGAAGCGCGAGAAGAATGATCTTGAGGTGCAGATCACACAGCTGAAGAAGGAAATGGAGAAGGTGCACACGCTGATGATGAAGCATGCGGGCCAGTTCCATCGGGCCGACACCAACGAGGATGCCGAAGCCAACGGACGCGACGCCAACTGCTCGCCGGACATTTCTTCGGATGGCCTGAAGAATATCAATAGCGAGGATGGTTTGGTCACCAAACTAACCAACGATGTGAAAGATCTGGACATTGAGGAGTTTGCCATGAAGGGAGCCATGCCAAAGCATTTGACAGATCTTGATGAGGCCGCGGCTGCCGAAGAGAAGCGTCTGATACAACAGTTGTCCAAGGATGACTTTGACGAAGATTACTTGCTGCAAAAAATATCCATGCTGCAGTTGCGACTCGATGAAGCGCAGAAAACTCTACAGGCCGAAAGGGAGTAAGTCAATAGATGGCCTCCCCCCTTCTTTTTGTTTGCTCAAACTTTGGTTTTTTTTTTCCAGTGAAAAGCACGAACTTCACAAGAGCATTGAGAAGCTGACACTGGAGATACAGGATGTGCGCGGACGTCACGAGGAGATGCGTTCAGCCAAGCAGGAAGCGGTTCGCGAGCTCTTGACCCTGCAGGAGCAGCATCGGGCAGAGATGCGCATCGTGAACAACTCGCTGCAGGAAGAGATTGCCGCACGTGAGAACCTAGAGCGCCGTCTCACAGAGCTGCGAACTGAACTGGAGCATCTGCAGGCAGAAAACGCCTCGGAATGGGGCAAGCGGGAGCGCCTGGAGTCTGAAAAGTTGGCCTTGGAGCGCGACAACAAAAAGCTGCGCGCCGAGCTGCGTGACTATCAGGAGCGTTCGGATCGCAAGTGTCGCCCAATGCAGGCCAACGATGTGGAGCTTCGCGCGCTGCAGCAGGAGCTCTCGGAGCGCAACAAGGAGATCAGCGAGGTGAAAATGTCACATGCCAAGCTGAAGAAACTGTTGGCTGAGACCAACACGGAGCTGAGCCACGCAGTGCGCCGGGCAGAGCAATACGAGGCAGAGGTAAGTAAATCTATGTATACCTTATCTGATGATATAAATGATTATGGAGTAGCTGTAGCTGTAGCTAGAACGAGATTAGGCATATCAGCTTATCAATGGCAAGAAAATTTAAAAGTGAGATGTTTATTTGGACAAGGGAACATTTTTAAACAAAGATACTTTTATTCCATATGACACGTAACATTCTAACGATTCTGTAAATGCAGTTCTCTCCATCGCTCCGTTCTCTTCATCAATCAGTTGGCAAAGGCCGCCAGTCCGGTGATTGCACGTCCGAGAATCAGAGCGTGAATGTCGTGGGTGCCCTCGTAGGTGTTGACCGACTCCAGGTTCATCACATGCCTGATCACATGGTACTCATCGCTGATTCCATTGCCACCCAGCATGTCTCGCATTTGACGAGCAATGTCCAGAGACTTGCCCGTATTGTTCCGCTTCAGAAGGGAGATCATCTCGGGTGTGTGCAGCTTCTGGTCCTTGAGGCGACCCACCTGCAGACAGCCCTGCAGGCCCAAGGCAATCTCTGTGGTGGCATCGGCCAGCTTCTTCTGGATCAACTGATTCGCCGCCAATGGGCGTCCGAACTGCTTGCGATCGAGGGTGTACTGACGGGCTATGTCCACACAGGCCTCGGCGGCGCCCAAGGCTCCCCAGGCGATGCCATAGCGGGCATTGTTCAGGCAGTTGAAGGGGCCACTGAAGCCACTTGCCTTGGGCAGCAGCTGCTCCTCGGGCACTCGCACATCGTCCATGAGGATCATGCCCGTGGGTGAGGCACGCAGCGAGAATTTTCCCTCGATCTTGGGGGTGTCCAGGCCCTTACCGGATATCTTGCGATCCACTAGGAAGCCGCGCAGCTTGCCATCTTCGCACTTGGCCCACACAACCAGCACATCGGCAATGGGGGCGCTGGTGATCCATGTCTTGGATCCATTCAAGATGTACGTCTTCGTTTTGCTGTCGTATTTGGCATTGGTTTCCATGCCGGCCGGATCGCTGCCATGGTTTGGCTCGGTCAAGCCAAAGCCCCCTGTGGTGAGGAAGAAACAAAATAGTTATTCCGTTGTAAGAAGGCAGTCCCCCTGTTTGGGCACTCACCTATCAGCTTGCCCTGCGCCATGCTGGGTAAATATCTCTCTTTCTGCTCCTCTGAGCCGTAGTCGTAGATGGCTCCCATGGCCAGCGAGCTCTGTACACTCACTGCCGAACGGTAGGCGGAGTCAACGCGCTCCACCTCGCGGGTGAGCAGGCCATAGGCCACACTGGACACTCCGGCACAGCCGTAGCCCTTCAGGGTGCAACCCAACACGCCCAGACTGCCGATCTCCTCCATGATCTTCTTGTCAAACTGCTCCAGTCGATTGGCCATCTTCACGCGGGGCAGCAGCTCCGCCTGGCAGTAGCCGCGGAAGGCGTCGCGAATGGCCACCTCCTCTTCGGTCAGCTGGCTCTCCAGGTTGAGGGGATCCTGCCAGTTGAATTTGGGAGCTGCAGCCTTGCTGCTGGCCAAGCGGCGAGCACACGGATTTATTAGTTTTCCTATCACACTTTGCGCAATCATTTTTCTATATTTTTCGTGTTTTGCTTTCCTTTTCGTACAAAATTCGCAGCTACAGCTGCTCCGGTTGAATAAATGAAATGAAATGAAGAAAGCTCCCAAGAAGCTTCGAAGCTTTCATAACAGCTGCAACAGGTTTACTCTCTCCAATCTCTGGTTTTTCAAAGTTTATTAAAATAGGGTTCAACATGCCCGAAGCTTGCTCTCAATTTAGGCGGCATATTATCTTTCACATGGCGAAAACAAGTGACCACAATATAAGCCACTCGGAGAGCGAGAGTGGCCCACCTTGGGACTTGTTTACCCCGAAAATACTGTTGTTATGACCGGATGATCATAATCTGCGGCCCCTAAATATTCGCACTATCACACATTTTATTTTGGACTTGACGATAGAAAAGTTTCCAATTGTTATCGCATCTGGCCTAGCGGGGGTCGGAAGCTTATCTGCGCACGCCCATTGTGGCTATATTTAAGCATGGATCGTGGAATGAATGGAATAGTGATAGTGGGGCGTGCATGTTTGTGTAGACTGGAATGGAAACCCTGTTTCCAATGCAACGGACAACATCACTTATCTCTTTTCCTCCGTTCCAGGTCAAACGCCTACGGCAGCGGGTGGAGGAGCTAAAAAGGGAATTAGCGGGCGCCGAAGACGAGCTGGATTCGGCGGTGAATCAGGTGCGGCGTCTGCAGCGCTCCAACGATGAACTAGTGGGCCAAACTGAGGGCTTTCAGGTGCAAATCCAACATCTACAGAACAGGTGAGACTCGCACAAGCACAAGCATACCCAAGTACATGTACATATTAGTAAGTCTTTCCCCTAAAACAACTAACTTTTCATTGGTGCGGGTGCCTGCTAATCTACTCTACTCCACTCCTAACACCCCCTCGTAACCAACTAAACCACAGACGAGCCCCCAGTCCGCAGCTGCGCGGCATGGGTGGCGTTCAGTTGAGGAACAAAATAGCCGTCGAGCTGCCCAACGATTGTCTGCCGAATATCAATGATCTGCGCCAGATCTTTGATGATTCTCAGGCGGGAATGCGCAGCTCCCACAATGGCAGCGATGCCGCTGTTCATCATGCGGCTTCTGTAAAGCGTTCCAGTCACACGGAGCGCACGCTGCTTCAGCAGCAACAGAGCAGTGCAGCTGCCTCGGCTGCGGCAGCGGCGGCGGCAGCAGCGGCCTTCTACGATGCAAAGCCCACGCATCTGGAGGAGAACATCTTCGAGTCAAAGTCCCGGAACCTGGAGTTTGAGCGGGCGAAGCAGAAGTTTGACAATCCCCATGGATCGCATCACCATCACCAGAGGCAGCGGTCGGGCAACGGACATGGCCGATACGGTAGTGCCGGGAGCAGCAGCAACTGCAGCAGCGCCAATCGCTCGAATCTCGTGCTGCCCCTCAAATGCATGACCAATGGGGGTACTCCTTCCTCGGCGTCCAGCAAGGACGAGATGAACAGGCAGCTGTACGAGGCGCACGAGAAGGAGCAGGGCTATGCCAGGAATAGTATTAATCTGGATGGTCTCAAGGTATCCGACGATGAGGTGAGCCGCACGGAACCATGTTCTCTTCGCATCTTTTACTAACTTTTTTCATTTCTGGTATTATTTTGGTAGTATTTATTCCGTCTAGTATTGTAGAGTGGAGGACCTAATTTCTGTCTTTTATGTTTGCAGACTCCGTAGCTATGGTTCGACAAGCTTACTGCTGGACGATGAGACCGAAGGAAATAGCGATTGAAGACAAATTCGATTGAAGGCTATGGTATTAAATGCTAGTATTAATTTCACCCCAAAATGCGTAAGTACTTTAAAGTTGGTGGAGCATAGGTCTCAAGGTACAATCCATGATCCTAGGCTATGTTTGAGGACCACCATCAACTTGTTCCTTAGTTGAATCAATTCATAAGTTTATGTGAACAAGAGGGAACCACTCTTTTGGCACACGAATCCCCATAGATCAGCAGTAAACTATGTCATTTAATAAGCTTTTATCTTCACAAATATTCCATTTATACTAAGCATTACTATCAGACATTTTAGCTGGCCATATCTCTTTTCTCTATGAGCTTAACTCGCAGATAATACAGTTGTTAGGATCCCTTACATCTCAATCGCCATTGGAATCCCTTGCCTTCTTGAACAACACAGACTAAACCACATTAACAGACTTACTACCAGATTTATATACGTATTGACTCATAATACAGGTTCGATTTTTGAGTGCCAGAAATCCCATAGGAATTTTACAAAATTTAATCGGAACAGAGTCCAGTATGCTGCTGGCTGTGAATCGGAAATAATTTAATATATATCAAAATCTCGAGATCTGTGCGTTTGTCTAGTCCCATATCCTTTTCGCTTACTTTTCCAAACGATTACACTTTGATTCGCAGCAGCGGCATATTGAATCTTATCTAGAATATATAGTATATACATATTTGAAAGAAGAATATTATACGTATTATAATTTAGCAATATTAGTATTCTAGTGTTTTAAAAATACCAATTTATAATTAACTATTAAAATTACAACATAACAAATATTTAGACATGTATACATACATATATAACGAACTACAACTGATATTCCAATAAAGTTTTTGGATGTTACCATTGATTGAATACTGGAGTGTGTGGCTGGCAGATCCAGCGTTTCGATATGTTTTTGTATTCAGATATTATTTGTGTCTAAGAATTGAGCGAACCATTAAATAGATAGAGCACTTCGAGTCCTGTGACCATTTAATTCCCTCCAGCAGCGGTAAAAAACCAAAAAAGAAAAGAAAATATGTATAAACTCGAATTTAAAAACTTGTGTGAACTCAGATCACAGTCGACTTTTGCCCAGGCATTCTTTTTCATAGTATTCTACGTAAATCATTTGTGAGAACACTAACCAGCAAAAGTTTGAGATTTATACAAAATTTTTCTGTTAATCAAATAAAAAATTTTTAGTTTTCAATCATGGTTCAGTTATCGCGTAGTACAAAATTTACCTGCATTTGCTTTGCCATCTATTTGTCGTATGCTGTGTTCATATTCCTGCTGTTGCCCATGCTGATGCCCGATCCGGTGACACTACAACGGTCGATGCTCGCCTACAAGACCCGCCACCTGGGCAACTTGACCAAATACACGCTGGAGACAGGCGGTGAGCCTGTGCGCTCGCTGCTGGTCACATTCCGGGGCTCGGGGGCCCTGAAGCTGCTGGATAACTTGTCCTTTCAGCCGGGCTGCTATCAGCACTATGCCCCACTGATTGCCTATCAGAACCGTTTGAATGCGGAGCAGAGGAATAAGGAGGCGCTGGAGGAGATGGTGGCGTTGTACAATTGCGACTACAACAAGTCGGCGCCGATGCTCAGCTGGGGCCTGCAATCGTCCACCTTCCGACGCTTTTATGGCGTGCAGTGGAAGAACAGTCTGATTTATCCGAGCGAGGTCTGCTGGGACCCGAAAGTCATGTCGGATATCTGCAAAATCTATCCGTTCCTCAATATGGCCGTGTACAATCTGAGGCTCGAGTATCTGAGTACCCTGCTGGAGCGAGAGGAGTGAGTACATCGAATACCTTTGAATGATTTCGATATTGATTGGTTTCTTCCCCATCCCACAGTCTCAACATAAAGATTATGTTGCTGATACGCGATCCCCGCGGCACGATGCACACACGTGCCAACAGCGCTTGGTGTGCCAACAGTCCAGACTGTATGCCGGCGAGTCTGTGCAGTGATATGGTCAGTGATTATAACACCGCACTGCGTCTATTGAAACAATATCCGCAGCGCTTCGGGTATGTCTTTAATTGTAAATTCTAAGCATTCAATACAGCACCAAGAGTGTCCAACAGAGTCATACGATACGAAGACCTGGTCCATGATCCCGAAGAGATCATGCTGAATGTTTTCAACTTTTACGGTCTGCCCATGAAGCGGTCCAAAGAGGTTAGCCGCGGTGTCCATCCACGCATTGCTCACCGTGAGGGCGATGGCTGGGAGTTTCCCTGGAGGCATGCAAATGAACCGGCCTACGATTGGATGTACAAAATGAAGGTCGAGGATGTGAAAAACATTCAGAGTGTCTGCAAGCAAGCAATGAATGTGTGGGGCTATCGTATCATCAAAGACTTTGAAGGCTTCTTACCCGAGGCCTTTGAGCCGTTGACCGCCAAGAATTGAATTTCAAATTCGAAATTTATGCGCCAACACTTGACCCAAAAGTGTTATCGTGCTAATCAGATGTTGTACCACCATTTTCGAATAGGAATATGTATTTGCATTTATGGGAAGAGATAAAACTGTAAAACAGAAATTATCCTTAAAAGTAATATTCTGCCGCTGCTATTAGTTAGGACCTCCTCGTTCTGGTAGTTCAAAGTTTATTTGTTAATAATATTAAGTTTCGTTCCGATAAATGTAATAATCGATAGGCCGAAAATTGAGGGAATCGTCGCATTTCTTGAATCGGTAATGGCCCGGTTGACAACAGTTAAATCCTTATCGCTCACATTCAAAAAGGTTAGATTTGGCGCGCACCACTCGTAACCAGTCGTAACCTCTTTTACCCGATTGACAACACTGAGTCCCATTCCATACACAAACATGTTGCTAATTCCAGACAGCCTGGGGGAAATGGATGGTATAAAATTGCGGAAATGTGTGTCATTCCAGGCTCTAATTATGCAGAAACTAGATAGTCTCTGTTTTAAACGATATTTTGCAGCTCATCGTCTGTCTACAGACAACCTGCGACTATTGAACATTTTTGTTGAAATCGTGTTTTTGTCAAAACAAAAAACATGCAAGTACTTAAAAGTAGTTAATCCTGATTAAAATTGATTCAACAATCATATAAAATTATCTGGGCTAAACTGAGAGATCTATATAGCCAGTAATATTCGACGGAATATCAAAAACGAGGAATATGTAAAATAGAACTTGAATTCGTCAGTATATTTACGGTATATTTTGAAAATGAGGCGGTATGTTTCGGTATATTTCTGAGGGTCAGAGGGTATGTTTTATCGATAAATCCGCGGTCACACTGATCGCTATATTTTGGACCCGACCGGACGTGTGCTAACGGAGACTTTTGTTTAGAGCGCGTAAAAAATTATTAATAAACGCGATAGAAACGTCCAGCGTCTGCAAGAATAACAATTGAAATGTCCTCCAGCTAAGGGGGCCCGCGGTATGTGCGAGTGCGAGCGTGTCAGGGGGAATGTGTAAAGTGTCCGAGTGCAAAGTGTGTTTATTGTTAAATTGCCAGCAATTAGTGGAGCATTAACTGCCACAAATGAGCACAGCGGAACTGGATGCGGACTTGGAGTCGTGTGCGCTACTGAACGCTGGTGATACCACCGTCGATCCTGGCAGGACACGCGCTAAGCAGCGCGTCAGTTTGAACTCGAAGCGTCGACGCAGCAGAATGTCGCGGCGGGCGAACCTCATTGGCATCTGTGGCGTGGGCAGTCTGTGCATCCTGCTGCTGATAGCCACCACCCAGCATCGTCCTCTCACGACGCCCTTCAACCAGGGATCGGGCGGCGGCCCGGCGGGGGCAGCGGCCTCGCTCAGCCAGGCGGCCGCCTATGGCGTCGATGGAGGTCCCTCCAACAGCCTAGGCCGCAACTCCTTCTACGAACGCCTGCAGCAGCAGATGCAGCAGCAGCCCTCGCAGACTGTCGTCTACAACCTGACAGCTACTATAGCGGATGTCCTGTCGGCTCAACGGTCGCGCATCCTCACCGAAATGGAGAACTTCGAGTACCCGCGCGGCGGGGCCGAGCGGCTCAGTGACATGACGCCCGCCACAAACGGCACGCCCGTCCGCAGTGTGGTCGTAACCTCCTGGCGGTCGGGCTCCACCTTCCTGGGGGACATACTCAACTCCATTCCAGGCAACTACTACCACTACGAGCCGCTGCTCGACTTTGGCATCAAGCAGGTTCGCGATCCCGATGACCAGGACCTGGCCGTCCAGAATCTAAAGAATCTCCTCAACTGCGACTACGCCGACATGACGGACTACCTGAACTTCGGAAAGACGCACACATATCTCTTCGAGCACAACACCCGACTGTGGGACGTCTGTCGCGAGTATCCGCGCTTCTGCTGGCGGCCCCACTTCCTCACGCGCTTCTGTCGTCTCTTCCCCATTCAAAGCATGAAGACGGTGCGGCTGCGCCTGGCGCAGGCCGAGAAACTGCTGGAGGACCAAAGGTGAGTGCTCCACGACACATACTATTGGGGGGGGCAGGCTATAGAAAGTGAAAGGCGATAGATAACCAGGCGATAGATAATGTCGTGATGCGTTTATGCGGTGTCCCAAGTTCGTGATGAATGGAACAATAGAGAAACTGCAGTCGTTTTGCTCGGGGACTTACCCTGATGCGTATTTAATCCCACAGAAACATCCCACAGCATGGCCCCCACAATTTCTTTGTGTGCTTCTCTCATCTACATTTCATTTCATTTCATTTCGATTATCTTGGAGCAGGCCAAGGCTCCCGCCTTTTGTGATAATTACTGAGGCATACATTCAGATTTTGTTGTGTGGTTTTTCTAAGTTTCTCCGCCTGGGACTTGCTCAACTTGTATACTGCTTATCGTACGAGTATTTGCCTGCATATAGAACCCTTGAGAGCTTATCAAAATGTTGCGGAACTTTGCCTAAGTCTGCAGTAAAATGTGAACTATTTATCACCGAAGAATTTACAAATTAATGGGCTCGACAAAAAGTGGTTTTAGATAAATTATGGTTACGATTAGTCTATTCTCCGAATGAATCCATTGATAAACTGATCGGCGGATGGCTCGGCTGCCATATCAAATGTTGGCTTCCTGACACTCGCCTATCTTTCCATTTTACAGCCGCAATAGATTTTAGAGACTACTTAAGCGCTTTTAAACAGATGTTTACCCGGAGGTAGTAAAGATTATACGGGTTACTGGGTTACTCGAAGCGGATACTCCATACATTTATGACGTTGGCTGCCTTATCAACGGTATTCCCGTCCCATTTGCTCTGAAGTGATTGCTCAGACTCACTTGAGTCTGGACGAGTATTCCGCTTCCATTTCCACTCGAGGGAAATACCTGGAAATCAAGCCAATCTTTGTCTGCTGCTCAGAGCAAATAACATATTAGGTAATTAAGTTATCTTTGGGTTAAAAAAAAATATTCCACACAAATATTACACTTTTATTCCCTTCCTTAATGCAAGATAAGATTTATATCATTTATGTTCTCATTAATCAATCAGCAATTACGAACATGGGGAAGGCTCATTGCTGTTCCAACACTTGCTGTTCCTTAGGGTTTCTTGGGCGGATCAACTTTCATCGCCCCAACAAAGTGTCTCTCCCTTCAAGCTATTTACTCGAACATTTGGCAGCGTGGAAAACCCTTTGGCACACACAGAGAATCGCACAAGTCCAATCCTCTGCCAATAGTTGAGGAAATCGAATCCCTTGTAAGCGTTTCCTGCCCCCAAAAAGTTTCATTTACATAATTTCCCATTTAAAATGTAAGCCAAACAAACAAACAAGCCAGCAAACAGCCACAGCAACAGCAACAGCCACAACGGAGCACAGAAATCGATAAAATTAGTGTATAGAACAATCTCTGGCCAAGCAAACAGAAAAAGGAAAATGTATTTGATTGATGTGATGGTGGGGTCCTCCCGTTGCTACTCCCCTGCCCCAGCCCCCGCTGCTCCTGCTGCTGATGGCTTTGTGGTTTCGATTACATTTGGAACTGCCACTGGTCCCCCACATCCACCTCCACCTCCGGCTCTATCTCTCTCTCGGTCTGCCTTTTTCTCTATAAGGACATTAGGGATTCTATGTATTGGGTTTTGGCTTTTGTCAATGTTATGCAAAAGATTCCATCCCCCCCATTGCCCCACTCCCCCCCTCTTTCACCCAACTAAACAAATTTCAATCAAATCGAGAGGGAAACTGACGTTTTTGTACACAGAATTTCGGTTCAATAAATAAATAGAAACCGAATCGACGGAGATGTCATTTATGGGCATGCTCTCGTTACACATGTCCCCATGTCCCCATGTCCCGTCCCGGGGCTTGTAAATGTCAAAAGAAAATGCTTGATTTCCCCTAATGGATGTTCTTTTGAGTGCTCCTCCTGGGTTGGGCTTTCACCCGCTCTCCTCTTCTGCCAGTTCTGGCTAAAAACAATTAACACACTAAATCATGAACATGAACCCGAGCCAAACACAAGAGTAACTTAAGACGGAAGAAGCGGTGGGGCCCGGCCAGCAAAATAAATTAACAGACACTTGAAAATAGAGCTGGCGGAATGGTTTCTCTTACATTTTTGCAACCTTAAGAAGTGATGGGTATGTATATATCCCCCGAAGACTCCTTTTAAGTTGAGGAATAATATAATTTCTTTGTTTATTTTGGAGTTATACTGAACTAAATCGAAATATCATGCATTTCTTACCATTTTTCCCCACTTAAATCGAGTTATTTTCTCATTATTCTTGACCATTTTCGGGGGAGAGAGAGATGCCAGTAAGTAGCTCTAGAAAGGGCACTTAAGCTTCGTCTGGCCCATAATTGTTGGCCTGGCCTGGCCCGGCCTTCTTCTCCGCTTGCAACAGCAAACATTCTTTCACACTCTATTAACGCAAAGTCTTGCCACAGTTCCCGGCCTCCGAGTGAAATGCATCAAAATTCCGGAAATGTTGCCCAGCACTTGGATTTATGGCCCTAACTTCTGCCGCCCTCCCACCCTCCCCCGGCCGCTGCTTAAGCACGGCTTTTCGGCCACAATTTGGGTCAGAGCGCGCATTGTGTGGGGCTGGCCGGCGCGTGGAGTGTGGAGTGTGGAGCGTGGAGTGTTGGCTGAGTCATTCGCTCAGACACTCGCTCTCTAAGCGTACCGCTAACTGGGCTTCTAATTGTCGATGGGGACTGTCCACGAGACTGTCGGTCGGCTCTGGCAGTTCTGGCAGCTCTGGCAGCTCTGGATGGGTGTGCCCAGAACACAGCACAACCTCTGGCCCAGGCTCTTAAATTTAATGCCAAATAGGCATTTTATTTATAAATCACACATTATTTTTATGTGATTTTTCATGGGGCCGATAAGGAAGGGAATGTTCGGGCTAATTAAATGGAATGGTAAATGGGGGGCATTTTATATTTATTTTTATATATTTTATGAAGGGAAATAATAGAGAATTCTTTTAGAGGAAACCCCTATTTATAGGCCTCTTACCAGATGGTTTTCTATAGTAAGTTTAGCCCCCGACTTTAGTCGAAACTAGCCCGCAATCTCTCTTATATTTAGTTTCCCGATAGAGCCACTCCGCTCTGGTTTCTGTGGCCGCTAACTTTGTGCGGCTTTTCCGGCTTGAAGTAGATTAAAATTTGTGAAAATTGAAAGGCACCCACAACGACAGCCACACAATGGAGGGGCTGCTCCTCCTTCGTCGGGCTTTTGCCATAGAAAAGCCGTAAATACCGCAGCAGCCACAAAGAGTTTTGGCCGTTAGTTGGCTTATAATGAGCCAAGTGGCCATTAAGTCGAAAACTTTCCTCAGCTGCGTTTCCCAAAAGCGGGGGCAAAGGCAATGCAAGATGGATGTCAAGACCCTCCCCCCCCGAAAGCTTCTTTTGAAGCGTTCTGAAGCGATTATTGCACCATAGACGACCCCCATTCAGGGGCTGGGAGTGGGGCTGGGGTCTGGGGCTGGGACTGCGGCCTGTTTAACATTTTTCGCTTGTGAACTTTTGACTTGACAGCTTTGACAATAAACCAGAAACCAGCAGCAGCAGCAGCAGCCCAAGGAAGGGGGAAGGAGGGAGCAGGCAGGAGATACTCGCAGATAGAGCGATCGTGGGTTCAGTGAACGTTCAAGTAGCATAATTTTACTCTCAGTGCTCTCAGTGCGGGTGTCCTCCCCACCCCCTCCCCCCAGAGGTGGTTGTCTCTGGCTTTTGCATTCGAAATAAAAAGCGAAACGGGTTTCGGTTGTGAATTGGCGATAAACCTTCCTTTTCCGTGCGGAATACCCTAACCAGAGAGCGTGCTATACATTTGAAGAAGTAATTGGAATAGAATGGCGGATAGTCAGTAATCGTGGCTCTTGCTCCCAGTCCACTTAAAGGGTATCACAAATTAGCCTTATTTTATTTGTTTAACTATTTACGTTTGTTTTTGAGCTCTGTGGTACGTGGTAGAGATTGGTTTTGTGGCGTAAACGGATGAAAAGCAGCAACAAAAATTGTCGGCCAAGAGACAGAGACAGAGAGAAAGAGAGAGAGAGAGATACCAGACCCAAAGCCAAACCCGAATAGACTCCTCTACGGCTATGACAAACCTCTCTCTCTCTGCGGCCTGGCCGGCAGTGAAAGTGATTGATTTTTTTTGTACCTCTTTCTCCACAGCAGAGGCAGCAGGGGCAGGGGCAGGGGCAGGGGCAGGGGCAGTGGCAGTAGCTGGTACTCGAAGTTTCGCTTTTTTCTGTGTTTGCTGTTTGGGTGTAAAAATAATTTCTAAAAAATGTGTAGCCACCAGACGACTGCGTTTTGGTTTGTTTTGGGGCTTTTTTTTGCGCGTTTTTACGATCTTGGTGTGGAAGTCTGATGAGGCGTTGGATGGATGATAATGGCACATAATAATGATAAGTATAGAAATTTCGACTGGAAACCAGTTAAGCCAGAAAACCAGTTGGAGTCGCAGCCAGTCGCTGGCCCCTGCATGGCATGGCCCGCTAAATAAACATTGAAACATTAGCTAAAACTCCATCCAATTAAGAGGAAATATTCATTTGATTGGGACTGTTTAAGCTTCTTGAAAATTCTCTAAATATCATAGAAAAAGTGTTTCAAAACCTACAGAATTATGTCTTTGTTTTAAACCTTCAAATTCTTCAAAGAACCCAAACCCCGGTCACAGCCAACTGCTTCGTGGCTTTCTTCATTGGTTCTGCTAACTCTCCTTCAGCCATAAACCATTTTCCCCCTTTTAAGTTGTAAAAACCAGAACAAAGGCCCAGTCCAGTCTTGAACGCTTCGGGGAGCCCGGAGCCTCTTCTAATAACTCTGTGATCTCCGTGTACGAGTGGCTCCCCCTTGTTCTCTGGGAGCGTGTGAAAATTACAATGATTTAGTGGCTGAAAGCAGGCCCATCGATCAATGGCATCGATCCGTCTAATGCAGCTAACGATGCCGCAGTCGCAGTCGCAGTGGCAG